TTCATATGGCTCATGCTTATTTTTAATATCATATCAAATCATGTGTAAGATTGATTAAGTTAGTTTGGAAAAAAAAATTACTTCCAATCATTTTATATAAATACAATTAACTCAATTAAAATATAAAAATAAATTAAAAACTCATTACGATGGTGGGATTATACCTAAACACACCAATAATAGCGAGGTAAAAAGATTGTTTGGTATCACAATTTTTTTTTTCTCGTTGGATATCATGGTCAAAGATGGATTAGCGAATTTAAAATACGAGGGTTGACATTTACCAAAACTTTAGGGAAGATGCGATGTATTTACCATTTCTTTATGTATTTATTTATTTATTTATTTTTTGCGAAGCCCCAAAAACTTGAAAGGGACTGGATGGTGTTCTAGAAAGGAGAATGGAATTGCAAGTGCCAAAAAACGGCATGAATGGATTTCACCCTCTAGCATTTACTTACATAGTGGGGTAGGCATTAAATTTTATCTTTTTCGTTGATGACTTGCGCAAGCATCACCTGCCTGTTGCCTACTTTTTTTAGGAAAATGGGTAGGTATTTCCAAAGTATATTGCTTTTTTTTTTTTTTTTTTATGTTGGACTTAGATTGCATTAATTACAGCGATGTTTATAGCAGTTTTTGCAAGCATTTAAGACACAAATCATGATGCCACTATCATCCATGTTGTCTATTGCATGGATGGGAAATGGGATCTTCACGTATTCTTCTTGTTTTCACCCTTTCTCCATTCCCAAGAGTCAAGCAACATAAATGGCCGCCAAAATCCCCCTTCCTCTGCGTGTCTTGACAGATAAAATCCATAATTAGGTAATCAAGAGTTCTGTTCACTCCTCTTTATTTTTGAACTACTATTGTTAGGTTAGCTAAAACAATAAACCCTAGCAATTTACTACCAAAACGGAATTTAAAAAATATAAAAAAAGAAGAAATGTACGTAGTGTGTGAAATAACCCCCATTAAGTATGGTTGGTTAACCTATTTACACAATAACACAAATACAAGGAAATTGTAAGAAACATATCAAAGCGGGACTGTGTATATTAGGTCAAAATTAGCATCTTATTTTATTTTATTTTAAAGATTTACTTACTAAAAAAAATAAAAAATAATAATAAGTTGATTTTTAGAATTGTATCCCTAGCTTGGTATTGATACCAAAGTTTAACAAAAGAAAACCATCACTTCTTCTAATCAAAACTTGAATTGAAATGATCCAAGAATATATCATAGTTCAAGAATATATTATCGTAGATAGAAAGAATATCATTCACCGAAAGAGAGAAAAGGATATCTACAACCTCTCCCCTAATTCAATATTTGGATCAATTTTAGAAGGAAATAACAAGCACTGATTTATGGGACAATTCACATCGTTGAAGGAGTATCAACTTTTTGGAGTCTTTTTCTATGTTTTTTTTTCTTTTTTAACAGGAAAACCAATAAATGGTATTGATGTGTGCGTTATCAATGAAGTGCAGAGCTGAGCAAGTTTAGGGTTTTGTTCGAGTATGGTGGATAAGTTTTATAATACTCAAAAAGTAATTAGCGTAAGTTATCCCATAAATAAAGATAGATATAAAAAAAAATAATTAATAAAAGACATTTAAGCGAGTATGAAAATATTTTTATCCCTTTTGTTATGTTCATATGTGTTTTTTTATGCGTCTATTATTTTTTAAAAAATAAACTTATAAAATAAGTACTGTAAATATATATTAATTATTTATTGAGTATTGTAAATTTTTTCGGACGAGGTCATAAGATTGATAAGAGATGAGATTGTGATTTTTTCACTCGATTCTAATGAGAATTTAGAGCCAACAAACCTAAACTAAACTAAAGCATGTCGCGTCAGCTCGCCAGCAAATCTAGGCAACTAGCCAGATTGCTTTGCTTTTCTAGTGAATTCGACGGTTCCATGTTCGATGGATGTTTCTAATCAATTACTTTCGATGTGGTCGTTGATGATTCCTCCCTATAAGTCATAATCTCGTGCCATCTTCTCTTGAAAATTTCATACAATTCACTGATTAAGTCATAATCTCCCTATAAGTCGTTTATTATTATTTTTCTTAATATCAATATCAGAAGTTGTATTTTTGACTTTTTTTTTGCTTCTAGATAATGGATTGCATGTGTTTGTGAGATCCAAACATAATGGCACCTGCTACCAATTTACAATTTCCACAAAATTAACAAAAACTATATTAAATTAAATAACGCAATAAAAAGTTATCGAAAAAGAAAATTCAAAAAAATCACCTCCTTCGACGACAAAATTCATAAGATGAAAAAGCTTTTATCTATAGCCTATCCATACTCTGGCATGCACTCTAAATTCAATCCTAATTATTTGAATCTAAGAAATAAATCCTCATAATTTTATTCATTATTCTAAATCAAAAATCATAGAAAAACCATTTAATTAATCTTCCCATTGCCCCCCCACCCCCCCCCCCCCCCCCAACTAATAAGATTTATGCACGAAGCCATCACTTCTAATTATAATCTCCTAGCATGAAAATGAAAAATTGTAGACAAATCAAGTGTATTCCCTTTTTATTGATAAATCAAGCTTTTTGGATTCCCTTAATTGCAAGTTGAAGGATTAAGAAATGGTTTAATCTAGAAATAACAAATTAAATGAGAGGCCAAAGTAGCACATTTCCTGCCTCAATAAGATTTATTTAAAAATTATTAGGATAACCCCTAATCCAACAATTAATTAATGGAGACAGGAATTAGATGCCTTTTTTTCCTTTTTGATTGGGGTATTAGAGCATCTCCAATGCTGTCTTTATATTAAGATTTTTCTTTATAATGAAGATGTTTGATCCAAATTTCATCTCTAATACTCTCTTTATCACAATCTTTATCTTTAAAATTGATATAGAGAGTGTCTTTGGCTCTCCAATACTAAAGAGTTCAAATGACTCTTTATCTTATATTTCATTGATGAAAATTATTATTTTCTATGCCATTCAACTTCTTCATCAATAGTCTCTCTGCGTTTTATAGATTTTGTCAAAATAAAGAGTTAAATAGAGAGTAGCATTAGAGAGGATATTGATCTTCAATCTATATAATTAATGATGCTCAAGCAAAGTAATTAATTTGACATTTTATTCCGTTCCAAAAGTCTATCTAAAAACAGCCGAAATTAAATAAAACAAATGGAGCTTCCTTGTTTTTTCCTACTTACATTTTATTGATTAACAAAATTAATTAAGAAATTAAAGTAATGCTAAATATAAATCAATTAATAACAAGTTTTGAAGCAATTTGGATTATTGGAATTCATATTGTTAGGTCCCACAATAAAATCACGATCTTCGGACTCATAATATTTTCAAAGTTTTTATTTTTATTTTTATTATATTTGCCTTTTATAAAAAAAATGTTATTAATTATTATGCATATTAGCTTTTTTTTTTGCTTTGTATTTTCCAATATATTTTTTTGAAAATTGTATTTGAATAGAAAAATAGATTATTTAAAATTTTGACCCAATAATTATTTTAGAAAGATAAACAATTATATATATATATATATATACACTCGGTACATAGAAGAGAGAAATAAAGAAGGGACACGTAAGGAAGCAAGAAAACAGAGGAGCGGGGGAGACACAAGCAAAGTAAAAGCAAAAAAACACAACAGAACATAAAAGAAAAGCACAGAGGAAACAGAGAGAAGAATCGCGCTGTTTCTCTCAGCTTCAGCTACAACCTTCACCTTCACCTTTCAGAGCAACACTAGAGGGCACTACTTCAGATCTTGTTTCTCTGCAGTTACATTTTATCTCTCCACTAAGTTCTCTCTACCTACCTACCTTCCTTCCTTCCTTCCTCTGTTTCTCTACAATCACATAGAAACAGAGAGAATAGACCTCTGTGCTTATCGATTCAATCAGCTCCTCAGATTGGGATTCTTTTGGTTGATTGATTGATACGGGTGCGTTTCGGTTATTTCTCGTTCCGTCTTCTTCTATTCAATCCAAATCAAGCTGGTTTCTCTCTCTCTCTCTTTCTTTGTTTTCTTCATTATTTTTTGGTTAATGAATAAATAAATAAATAAACAACGGTGAATGATTTTATGGAATAGAGGGTTAGATCCGTACAATTGGTATCTGCATTGTTGAGTTTTATGGGAATTATTTTTAATTTAATTTAATTTATTTGATGCTTCAGGTTATTAAAGGGAAAGACTTTTTTTTAATCTTTTTAAATTGTTAAATTTAATGAGAGTGTAAGTGATGATTCATGTGCTTTTGATTTTAACGGTTTTCCCTTCCTCTTCTCATTTAATGCTCCTTTTGTTTAGCTATTTATGGGTTTTTAAGGCTTATTACTTTCAGCTGACTGTGAGTAGTGTGAAGTAAAGTTTTGATATTTTTCTTTCTTGCTTTTATTATGTTGATTGAGAGTGAATTATAATAAATGGGTTTACTGTGAAACTTTTTTTTTTTTTTAATTTTTTTGGGCGGATTTTTAGCTGATTTGGATCTGTGTGTTTTTAATGATTTTTAAGAGTGATGTTATGTGATTTTAGAGAATCTAATCTTGCATTTTTTTTTTTTTTTTGAGATTCTCAAGTCTCATTGATTGATGGATGGAGGATTTGAAGGAACTGGAATGCTTTAGTATTTGATTAGATTCATTCAGAAATTGTCACTTGCAGCCAAAAGTGTTTTTTTTTATTATTATTATTAATTTACTTTGACAGCTTTGGAAAAGATCAATCTTTTGATACTTGTTTGCTTTCTTTATGTTAGAGGGATATATTGGTCGGTGATTTGATTTTAAATCACTTTTTTGTCATTTTCTAATGTTTCTGTGTTGCAAGCCTGCAGCATTATAGTAGTAACACGTTTTGTGTTTCTGCCTTTGATAGTTTAGAGGGGCATGTATGTCGGCAAGGTTGCTGTGAATCCACTTTCTTTGTCCGGAAATTAGGATTCCCTGTTGCATTTCAGCAAAATGTCAGGTATTTTAATTTGGCAGCTCAGTGAATACATCCTTTTTCAGTCGGAATCACGCTGTGCACGAACTAAATTGAATGATTGCTGATGCTTGATTTCATTAGGATGATTTTGCATGTGGTGTTTGGCTACTACTAATACTGATCTCTGTTGTCCTATTGAAGGTGTTGAAGGAATTGTGGTTAATGATGAATATAGAGAGAGAAGATCTGATTTTGAGAACTCTGAAGATGAAAGACGCAGGTCAAAAATTGGTAATCTCAAGAAAAAGGCCTTGAACGCTTCAAATAAGTTCACCCACTCTCTTAAGAAAAGAGGGAAAAGGAAAATAGATTATAGGGTTTCTTCAGTTTCCATAGAAGATGTAAGGGATGCAAAAGAGGAGAGTGCTGTCCATGAATTGCGCCAAAAGCTTCTCGAAAGGGATTTGTTGCCTCCCAGGCATGATGACTATCATACTTTGTTAAGGTCAGCCTATTAATATTTTTGGAACATAGTGCAATCCCTTTTATGAACTTGAACAGTTGTTTTAGCTTTCCTGTTCAAATCCACTAGAATGCGTTCGCTTATTAATACTGTCATTTTTAATCTTTCAGATTTTTGAAAGCTAGAGAGTTTAACATTGATAAAACGATCCAGATGTGGGAAGAAATGATTAACTGGAGGAAAGAATATGGGACAGACACCATTCTAGAGGTAATGGAATGGATTTATGCCGCTAACCATGTTGCTGTTGGTGTGGTTATCTTGGAAACTATTGCTTTATCCTGTTAAAACCAAGACTTTTATGTTAAATGTTTCTTTAAGCTAATCACAATAATCAAGTAATCAGAAGCTCCAAACTGCATCAGTTGGTAAAATGAACAAAATATTGATCACATTGCATTCCTTATAACTATCCATTGCATAGAATGCATAGTTGCTTTTTGTTTGAGATTGTATGAGTGTGTATACTTTGTGGTTCTGTACTGAATGTTTCTATCTTAATTCTAGATTCAAATTACATCTTTTTTTATTTACTCCCTTTGTTATTTGATTCTACAAGCATACTGAACTTATAGTCAATGTTTAGGATTTTGAGTTTGAAGAGCTGGAGGAAGTCTTGCAACATTACCCCCAAGGTTACCATGGAGTCGATAAGGAAGGCCGACCAGTTTACATTGAGAGGCTTGGGAAAGCTCATCCGAGCAGGCTAATGCGTATCACCACTATAGAACGCTATTTGAAGTACCATGTCCAGGAGTTTGAGAGGGCTATACAAGAGAAATTCCCTGCTTGTTCTATTGCTGCAAAGAGACGGATTTGTTTGACGACTACCATTTTGGATGTGCAAGGTTTGGTATGTTTAATTGAATTTTATCCTAGATAAGCCTTTCCAAAGTGATCTGGGTCTTAAACTGTTAATTCTAACCATACCATCAAGCTAGAATTATCCATCTCTGTTGGGATTTTGGAAAATTGTGTCAACCTGTGACGATTTTCCCTGCTCTATGCACCTTAAAAGGTTCAACGAGTTGTATTCTGAAATCATGTTTTAGAGTGTCTTAAGTCCCATTAGAGGCCTTCTAGCAGTCTTTATTGAGTGAATTGAGAGATTAATCTGTGTACTAGTAGGAATGTAGGATGCTGATAAATTTTCTTTCCTCCACTTTTACTGGTTGTTTGTGTTTCTCTGAACTGGTTGTCTGCAGAATTTGAACTAGTGATTAATGTTATGTTAAAAACAGGGCGTTAAGAATTTTACTAGGACTGCTGCAACTCTCTTGGGTGCCATGACGAAGATAGATAACAGTTATTACCCTGAGGTATCAAAGTCTCAGTTAATTGATAGTTTCTTTCTTCACTATTAATTGGTTTCTAATTGTTGTCCACTCATTATACAGACATTGCATCGAATGTTTGTTGTTAATGCTGGTCCTGGCTTTAAGAAGATGCTTTGGCCTGCGGCACAGAAGTTTCTGGATGCAAAGACCATTGCAAAGATACAGGTAAAGGATATGACTGTAATCATACAGTTCCCTACCATTAGTTTCCTGCAATCTTGATTAGCTATACTTAATTTCTGAAATCCAGGTTTTGGATCCCAAATCCCTGCATAAGCTACTGGAAGTTATTGACTCAAGGTGCATATTTACTGTTATATCTTTCTCACTTTTTTCTGTAGAAACTATAAATTGTTCATATATTTCTTTCCTGTTTCAGTCAATTGCCAGACTTCTTGGGGGGTTCTTGCTCTTGTTTGGCTGAAGGAGGGTGCCTTAGATCCAATAAAGGTCCATGGAATGATCCTGAAATAATGAAGGTAGGCCATCCTACTAGTAGGATTTCTTGTACTGATCTATGTTATGAATTTTAAAGCATGAAAGGAGGCTTGAATTGTTATATTGAACCTGCAATTGGAAATTAACCTAGGTTTTGTCATTGTAGCTCGTACATAATGCAGAACCAATATTTGTGACGGAAATCTCCAGAGTGTCTAATGACAAGCAGACATTTGACTTGTATAATCAGATGCGCCCTCTGAAGGCAAGTTGGCCATCTCATGATAACCAACCTTGTTTGTGGGTCATCAACATATCTTATTGTTATATATATTAGTTATCCTTTGTCTTTCAGGGAAAAAGCAGGGATAGATTAACAGCAGAATCAGGGTCAGATATTGATGATCCTCCTTCTCCATCTGGACAAAAGAGTTCTACCTTCCCAAGCTTGGCCCCCGTTGATGAAGAAGTAAGTTGTAGAATCTGTAGCTTTTTTTTTTTCACTGTACAGTTGCCTTCTTGTTGAACTTGTGCAGATAAGCGTGCATGTCAGTTTGCATGTGTCTGTGCTTGCATGGGTGCTTGTTTGTGAGGGTGTGGTGCATGCATATCCTTGTGCTTTGTTTTGTAAGTGAATTGTGATTTTCGCAGGCAAGGGCATCAGATCCAAGTATCTACTACAGTTGTGATGACAATTTTACTCTGGCTGAGAAAACTATTCTTAGAGGGGGTATTATGAGGATCAATCACTTAAAACCGATGATTTGCGGAACATTCCCTGTGAAGTGATATCAAATTTGGAAGGTATTTGTTCATGCTTTCTTAATGCAGATCAGTTTTCTCTCATTCATTTCAGATCCATAAGTTCGTTGGCTTGAAGATTTATAGAAATGGAATTTTTTAGGAATTAGTGTTGATTTTTAATTCATATAGTTGCTGAATGAAGTCTATTGTGGCTGTCTTTGGGTTTGTATTTTAATTTCAGGTTTATTCATCCGTTGGTTTGACATTGTCAAGGAAAAGGTTGGGAAAACAAGTATCCCAAATGCGACAAGAACCTTGATATCATTCGTGATCAAACTATTTGCACTTTTTCGTAGTCTACCATTTGAATATTGGAGAAGGCAGAACAACATTTATCCATCTAATTTGATGGAACATAACACACATATCCATTCAACTGCTGCTGAAGCTGTGAATGAAGAAGACCGTGTCCGTCCATGTATAGATCGTCTTCAGAGACTAGAGAAAATATTTGAGGAACTAAGCAACAAGCCTGCTGGAATCCCTTTGGAAAAGGAGAAAATGCTAACAGAATCCCTGGAGAGGATCAAGTCTGTCGAGTTTGACCTTGTGAAAACAAAGAGTGTATGTCCCCTTCTACATGGTTTGAAATTTGTGAATGTGTTGAAGTTGGCCTTTTAATTGTCCTGAATGCAATATTTTCTGCAATCGTTATGCTCACAGGTACTGCATACTACAGTGGTAAAGCAACGGGAGATTGCTGAGTTGCTAGACAATTTACGGGAGTCTAAATGTCGTGTAAGTAGTTCTGTGATAGCTGATTATATCCTTAGTAAACTTCATCTATGAAGAGTGTTTTTTTTTAATCCCAGATTCAAGCCTTGCATGAGGATTAGTGAGGCTTGAACCCTTGGTCGTCCTCAGCGAGGACTACTTTGTTCCCACTTCCCAATTTGTGATTAACCTGAAGGGAGCCCTCCATTTGAGCACATACAACAAGCTTTGTTCAATGAATTTATGACTTACTGTCGACTAATAGACTTGCACTAAAATTTTGTAAAAATTTGAGGTTGATTCTCATTTACCCAATTGTTGTTAACATTACAGTTCAAATCGATGTTTACTATGGTTTTCTAGTGCAAGTGTGGCAATAATGATGTCTTTTTTTTTTTTTTCGCAGCAAAGAAGGTTGTTCTGCTGAGTACATCGACTTATAGTGGAACATCAGAAACTGAATTTTTGGGACACTATATGCACAGAATGTGAAACTATTATGGCATCAGTGGTGGCTGGCGGCCTCTGAAAGAAGCATCACATGTCTGCTTCTTTCCTTGTAGAAAAAATGAGTCGGACAACCTTTTTTTCCATCAACCATTTTCCTTCAATCTTGTAATGTCCTGTTACAGTTGATACTTCACTAAAATTATAGTAGTTGAGATGAGTAATTCTTGGTGTTGCTAGCTTCGAATCAGTGTAGAGAATAACCTGAAAATAGTCGATAGAATGCTTAATAGCAAGCACACTATTTGTCACTGGCTGCTTTTCTCGCTTTATTTTTAGCGTAATTACCACGTACCAGGAGTACATCTAACAACAGGTATAGAAATAGAAGGGAATGAAAACCAGAAAATAACATTCTAAACACCATGAAATACTGTTCTCACTTTGAAATCAGAGGTTAAATATAGCCTTTACTTGGACAAAAACGATAGCAGTAATTTACTGAGATACTTAGCAGCCAGCATTCAAGGTTTTCGGAGGACTGCACAGATGGGCATAGAATTTTACACTAAAAAAACATTTTTGTTTCTTTGCCCTAATAATCTTGTAGAATTTTCAATAATATTTTCTCTCTATGAAACAAATTAAAGTTAAAAACTAAATATATAACTCTTGAATTTGTTGATGGATATTTTTAGATTTCTAATTTTGAGGCTGTAAAGATCATTTCTGGCCATAGCTTTTGCAGTAAGAGCTTTTCTCATAATGTAAAGCTTCATAATCGTTACTTTTGCTGCTGCTGAGCAATCTCTGCTGCTATAATTTTTGGTTGAACTGTGGAAATTCATTGGCTTAGGGAACCTGAAATCCCCACACCAAGTGTTGTAGTCTTGATGAAGGTAAATATTTATGTCTCTCTTTCCTTTTTTCCCTTTTTATGTGTGACAAACGATATACATATATAAGTACATCATATTCCCACTGCCATTTTGAGAAATCTAATCACATACATATACATACATACATACATACATATATATATTGTCCAGCAGCCAAAGTTGGTGACCCTCGTAAAGGACTTGGATGTGATTTACTGAAGGTAGTTTCTGTAAGATTTTTACGCTTGTGAGGGGAGAAAGAAACCATGTTAGGATTCAGATTGTAAAAAACAAATATTGAATGAAAACTTTGTCAAGTTAGGTCATTTTGGTAATGATCTGTTTGATGATCAATGCAATGCAGAAAATGCTTTCAATGCGAACACCAGAAAATGTTTTTGGAATTGTAACATTTATTCTGCTAAAGAGTTAATTTAACATATATAAACCTACTGATTATAGGCATCATATATGAACATGCACAGATTCTGCGTCAGGACTCAAGGAGACTACCCTCAGAAAACATTGAATTTTGCCACCGTGAATTGAAACTGGGAAAACCCACTTCAGCAGCGGCCATACTCAAGGAGACTGCCATATTTGTGATCCCACACTCCAACGTAAAGAGCTTCTATCTCAGGACTGAATGACACGCCAGATATCTAATCACAGAAATCAATCTCCTGCTCCTTTCCATACCCATTTTTTGCATCATAAACGTGCACAAAATCTGCAGGCTCAGCCATTGCCATATACAGGCCATCAGATTCGTAACGAATTGACCGGATTGCACCAAGATTGCCCTTCAAAACAGCAAGTGACTTGGATAGGTTCCGAACATCCCAAATGCGGCACGTTTTGTCCTGGTTCCCAGTAGCAGAGGTGACACCATCAGGATGCCATCCCATGCCGATGTAAACTTTCAAAACTCAAATTACCAACGGAAATAAAATGTGTGAAGTTGATGGACAAGAAAGACAAGCACCTTCCCATTGCTGGAGTCCACCAACAGACCATCTGGGTTGTCTTCAACAATTAAAGAAGCTTTCCATCCGGACCAACAGAAGTAAGATTTTTATAATGGTTGGGAGGCTAAGGATACAACACTTGCTAACAATAGAATTACTCCATGCAGATCGATGCTTAAAGAAAAATGTGGAAACATATTAGATCCCATTAGATGATTCATGCACAATAGAATGTGTAATTTGTACAACTACAAGGCTCAAAACTAGTTAATCTATGAAGAAAACCTGAAATTCATGAGCAATACTAATCCGTCCTCCTGCCTTTTATCTGAAATGCCACAAATTTCAAACTACCTGCCTATGTGGATGACAAACTTGTTGAAGCTATGAATGTTATTTCTTAGGGGAGTCGTTAGTGCAAAAGTACTCGGTTTCAAATAAAAGAAATAGCATGCCAGTGCCAATCTGGATATTAGTTGCTCACATTCACTGGCCAGTGAAAACGGAAATCCTTTAAGAGCTGATATTTCTCCACATTGAAGTCTCTAACTCCACCGTCGTTATTCAAGGCAGTGAAGTGAAGTGCACCGCTGAGAATGTCAAAAAACAAAGCTAGGTTGTTTCTGCACTGAAAGTGTAATAGGTCTGAAAAAGAATTACCTCAGACTAACATAGATCTCAACAGCATTGGTGATGGCATTATCATCATGAGTTGTTCTGTAGCAAAAGCTTACTCCGGGCCGATCTAGATGCTGCATTCCGGTGAAAAAACCTTGTTATTCCCAGAGAAATCATTAAAATCAAATTTCAGACTTCAGAGGTAAAATAATTATAGTTTTCAAAAATCTTGATGAAAAACTTTGAACTTTCTAACAAACTAAACTAACTGAGAAAGTGCAAACACTGCACACAAGTAGCATCCATGCTGATGTTGCTCACTGCTTTCTTTTATGAATCTCTTTTGCTTCTTCCAAGAAAAAGAGTACCTTGCGGATAAGTTCTCCCTGGAACTCTCCAGCAACTAGAAAATTTTCCTTTACAGCTAGTGCACTAACTTGAGTCTTAGCGAATCCTTCCAACAGACTTCCAGGATGTTTCTAGTGGACAGAATAAATATATCAATTTCATGGGAGGATTTAAATCGAAATACTAAAACGCAACAAAGATAGAGAAACTGAAGCTCATCAGATCTAAACTACTGTCAGCAATCATATAACTATTGGACCCCATGTGGAACAAACTGGCTTGTCAGTAACCTGAAAATGAAGAATGATTGATTTGACAGATAAGGAATTTCGTCTGAACTCATACTACAAACCCCTCTTTTCATAAATTTTGCAATCCTGCATGGGACAAAAAGAGAGGATACAAAACTGCTAAATTATTAGCCGAAACAGACAGAACACAATCAAATGGGAAAGAGATTGAAGCCGAATTTACGTTCATTGAACTTTCCCCAGAAAGAGACACGTTCTCACAGTTCCTGTATTTTCCTAGCCTGGTTTGCTTGTATTGCTCTCTAGGGAAGCTAAGTATATCCCAAGGAATTTCCTGGTTGTCTTTTCCATTTCTAGCATCAGCAGCAGGAGTATCAACTACTTAATTATTCTGCAGAAAAACAACGTCACAATGCCTCAAATCCTAAATCAGACCGAGTGACAGTGGAAATAATTTTCAAGGATTGCTTATGAGGATCAGTAGAACAGTTCATCAAACCAGAGAGTCTGTGCCCATCTCAGCTCGAAGTTCTTCATCCATGTCATCTGTGACATATTGTTCCATTACTAAACAATCCTGGCACCTGAAAAACGGAACCCCAATTCACCAAAACACCAATTGAATTTCGAAGTCACAAACTTGCAGAAAAAGAAAAATAATAATAAAATCTGATGCCAGAAAAAATTACTGTTGACTTGAGGGGAAATGCCCACTCAATTTCTTACCTTGAGTTGCAAATTTGAGGATTGGAGCAAGGAAGCTTCTTTTTCTTGATCTAGAGAAGAAAAAGAAAAAAATATCAGAGACTAAATATTATTTCGTTGACTGGACTAAGTTTTGTTATGACAAATAAAATTAGATCAAATTGTTGATTGATTATATAGTCAACATCATCATTCTCTTACATATGCATAAAAAAAGCCATAGCTCCATGGCCTGTCGGGTCCTACATTTTCTCTTCTTTAGCTCCTGTCTGGTCCCATATTTTTTCTATCATTCTCTTACACAAACATCAAGAAAACCGTAGCTTCTTTGTGGTCAGGTCCCACATATTCTCACTACACGAGGGAAGGACAAAACCAAGTTAGTTAATCGCCAATCTCTGGCTGCTCTCCCTTCGCGTGTCGCCATGATGCATCACCACCTCAGCGTCCTCAACGACTCCCAGGTCCAACTTTCCCTCTGTTTTTATTTGTTTCCCTAGAAAACAGGGAAGAAACGAACACTGAAAGCTCAAAACTTTCCTGCAATAATCATTCAATTTCACCACCATGAATTGAAGCAGCGAAAACCCATTTCAGCTATGGTAATGTTATTAAAGAAAGTGTGGGAATCGTTGTCGAATAGGAGGAGTTCGAGCATTGACTTAGTGATAACTCAACCGAGTTACAGAGAATCATCATCATCATCATCATCATCATCATCCTTGGGAGCTTTTGATGGGTTACCGATTGATGTGGTGTTGCAAATAGTGAAACTAGTGGGGCCAAAAGATGCAGCAAGATTAAGTGTAGTATGCCAGTCGTGGAGGTCACTTGTTTCTGATGATCGTCTATGGATTTATTTTCTTCAACAAAATCATGATCCTTGGCATTCTGTTTTTTTCGCTGAAACCAATTTACAGTGAGTTTTTTCATTCTCATTCAAGCACAATTGAGTATAAATTTAAGTAATTTTGATTGTTTAATTATGGGATTTTTATTACTATTTTGTGATTTTACAACAGGAAATTCTCTAGTCTCATAGCAAAGTCGTCATTCATGAGTATATACAGGCAAAGGGTCCAAGTTCCTGGTGCTGTTATTGTTGATTGTGAGAATTCTACTTATAATTTCAAGTTTGAAGTTGTTAAATTGAAGTAAAATTGGGTGCAAGAAGAATATTTAAAGCAAGATAGAAGTTTCCTATTACATTTAGCATTGTTAAAGGTTAAATTTTGATTGATTGTTTAGAAATTGTTGGTAGTTGAAAGTTTTATCTGTGGTTGATTCTTCCATCGCAAATGTAATTATAAAAGGTGGTTCGGGCTATTACAAATTTGGCTGGAGCAAATATGCTTGTCCGTCCGGTCGGTCAGCAACTTTTTCGGTGAGCATTTGCTTTTAATCGGCAGTTTTGCAGAAGCCATTTCCACAAATAGGATCTGTAGCAGTTCTTAGATTCCTTGTTATAACTTGTTGGCTTCCATCAACTTAAACGTACAAATTGTGAACTTTTTCTTTTTCTTGATCAAATCCGATTATGAAATTATTTGATGAGCAGGAATTTGTCAACATTGAATATCCATCCTACTTTCGGTTTCGACACTTTTTCAATGCTATTTATAGCAGGTCTCTCTCTCTCTCTCTCTCTCTCTGTGCAGTGACTTATTTTCTAAAGAAGCACTTGCATTTCTATGGATTCTTATAGCCTCTAGAACTTAAAAATGCTGAAAATATCTGTTAGTCTTTACAGGATGCAGGTAAAAGCATCTGCACAGCCAATTGTCCTCTCCCTTCCGCTTTGCAATTATGATGGTAACTAAATTACCCTTGAGCAATGTATCTTGCAATTATTATGTGTTCAAATCTCACCTTTTGAAGTTGATATATTGCTCTATTATCTACTTAAAGTAGAAAGAATTCTGATAACCTTTTTGTCTGACTTGACATGTCCAAATTTAAAGTACGTAGTCAACTCGAGATTGCTAGAATTTGGATCATGAATAATGTATTCCTCTCCTCTAAACTTGCTTGATGCCTTTATGATTGCAGATACTGAATCTGCTAGAGTATCTAGAAGGCAGCTAAAAGAGGCAATCTACACAGCTCTGTTTGACATGGATGTTCCAGCTGTCTGTGCTGTTAATCAGGTGTGTTGCCTCTATTTATCAACCCAATATTCCTCTAATTTCTCAATGTATTATACTGGTTATTGTGCAGACAAATAAAATTAAAATTGCAAGCATATGATGAAAAGTACTTGAAAGTCAGATCACCCGTGTTTCTTTCCTTTTATTTTGGAAAATACGTAAGTATGTTAAGTAAAGAGGACTTGTCAGCAATGCCAGAGATCACTGATTAGTTTTTCAATATCCTAGATTTCTATGAGTACTAGGAAGCTTCTGTCATATAGTTGTATGCAAGGCAACTTCATGCCATCTTAAAATGAGGGAAAGTTTATTCTTTATGTTTGTTCTGTTGATGAATGTTAATATTTCCTTTTGTCGATGACATAATCTAGAGGTTATGGTATTATTCAGCTTATTATAGTTACACATAACTGTTGTTTGGATGTTAACAAACACAGGCAACTTTAGCACTGTATGCAGCACAGCAAACTTCAGGAATTGTTGTCAATATTGGTTTTCGAGTCACGTCTGTGGTTCCAAGTAAGCAATTGTCTTCTTTTTGTTTCATGCTTCTTTGTTGTATAGAAATTGAAATTCTGTATAAAGTGAACTAAAAATAGGCTTTGGCTCATTCTTCATGCTAAGAATGTGATCTTTCTTGTGTGTCTAATGTATGATAAGATGATTTGTATATTTGCCTGGATATTGATGGTGTGTCATTTGTATTCATTCTGATTTGTTCCTTATGAAATTCGTCAATGACCTATAGGGGTTTTGACCTAGGCTTTTGCAAGTTGTAATGTACTTCGTGTTCTAAGCTCTAACATACTTTACCCTACATGAATTTCTACCTTCTCTAATAATCCTTTGTTTTAAATTGGCTTTTTGTGATTTCAAGATTGTGGGGATTTTGGATTTTGGCATTTTGACTGTTACATTTTACAGTTTTTCATGGCAAAGTAATGCGCACACTGGGTGTGGAAGTTGTGGATTTTGGGGCATTAAAATTAACAGGATTTCTTAAAGAACAGATGCGGCAGAACAACATTAATTTCCAATCGCTTTACACTGCTCGCACATTGAAAGAGGTACACCATTTCTTAGTTATATGTCCTATTGAAGTTGTCAAACTCTTAAGGCTAAGCAGTTTTTCCACCCCTATTGAACTCGGTAAACTTTTTTTTATCGCATCGATAACAGTCTTGTATTCGTTGCATATTTAAGGTTTTTCTCCTTATGTTCTGTTGGTATCATGGATATACAGAAGCTATGTTATGTTGCTGCTGATTATGAAGTTGAGCTATCTAAAGATACGCATGCATCATTGGAAGTCCCTGGTGAAGGATTGTTCACTCTTTCCAAAGAGCGCTTTACAACAGGGGAGGTCTTATTCCAGCCACACATTGCTGGAGTGTAAGCCCATTTCTTCCCACAATCTGGCTATTGCCATGGCATGAAGCTTTCTAAATATTGATGCTGTTTTTTTATGAACTATTTTTACCACAAAATTTGTTACGAAACATCTCGTCAGCATCATCCTGCACTGTTTAAACCCTAATATAGAAAAAGGAAAAATTGAGAAAACATATGTAACCAAGTAATATCATTTAGTATATTGATGCATTTTAACGTGCCATATGTCCTATATTTTCTGATTGACATTCTTTCATAATCCAGCAAGCAGAATATTTTCTGTGCATTATGCCATCAAAATAATAGGCTTATGATGGTTGGTTCAAATGTTACATTTATTGCATGGTTCAGGCACGCAATGGGTTTGCACGAGGCAGTAGCTCGTTGCATGGATCACTGTCATGCTGTAGAATTAACTGGAGATGATTCCTGGTTCAAGACTGTAGTTTTGTCAGGGGGCACTGCATGTCTGCCTGGACTTGTAGGTAAGGAAAAAGAAAAATACGAAAAGAGGGTATGCTCGCCCTTTGTCTTAATTCTTGGGTAAAAAGCATGGGGGAGATGGCATGAGAATCTGATCTTGAAGAGCTAAGGAAAAATGGATGAGCGAGTATCAACTATCAAGTATATGAACTGAACCTAGCTATGTTTGTGAACTTTTTCCAGAAAGGCTAGAGAAGGAATTGCATGGGCTTCTTCCCTCATCCATTTCAAAAGGAATTAGAGTCATGTCTCCTGCTTATGGCGCAGACACTGCATGGTTTGGTGCAAAGCTTATCAGCAATGTAAGTTAATAATCCAGATGTTTCGATTATGCAAGATTGGATATATCCACCATCGTATGTTTACTTTCTTTTTGTATCAGAAGCTTTGATCCTTGATTGTGCTGTCATGAAATTGACCGCAATTTGGTTTCTGCACATTACAGTGTGATCCAGATCTCATGAACTTCAAAATATTCTAACTTTTTTCTGGACTCTCTGATTCTTATCATTGATGGCTTGGAGTCTAGAAGTATTGGGGTGCAGATCACAGATCACTCCACCTGCATACCTACCTATATCGAAGCCTTATCTCACTTTCTTCTTCTTCTTTTTTCTAATACAGTTGAGCACCTTCCCTGGCTCCTGGTGCGTGACAAACAAGCAATTTCAACGGAAGTCTAGACTAAACCTCATCTGGTAAGGAAGTGTTGAAAAATAGTGTGAACCCTGACTTAGCTGATTTGTATGCGGACTAGTCATGGATCATTGTATCCCACTATTTTTTGCTGAAAAGTTATAGCTAGCTATAGTATCAAGGACTCAAGTTAGTCGATAGTTAATCTTGTAGTGCCAACCATTCTATTTGTCACAAGACTCTATGTATTATGCTGTAACTTGTAATTAAAGCTTTTCAAAGATGAAAACTTCTGTAAGGGAAAATGGTAAATTACATCTATTGAAATGGCTCTCATTTGTAATTAATCTGACCAATACTCGTGTAAGAGAGGGTAAATTTATGTGAGAAATGTCAAGGCAAGAATTGGGAGCTGGATGGATGGCTAGAAAATGCAACAATACATGGCCTCCACTCCGTGAGCTTATGGCTGGACTTGGTGTTGTGTTATAGGCAACACGTTGTTTTCTTGCATTTTTTTTATAATAAATAAATAAATAAAGTTAGATTACATTAGGTTAGATTTTAATTTAAAAACTTTCATATATATATATATATATCCTTTTCGTCAAGTCTATAGATTTTAATTTCATCTCTAAAATTTATAAAATATCTCAATATCATTTAAAAACAAACGAATTTAAATTAATAAAAATAAAAATATATAATAAATAGAAAGTATTTTTTTTATTAAAACAAATATGATAAAACCTGAGAGAGCTAATTTCTCAAAAAAAATCTTCAAATCCTACCATTTTTAATTTTTACTTAGTTCATTACCATCAAATAGTATCTTTGATATATTTAAATAATCACATTCTAAATGATGTCAAAATTATCTTGTGCTCAAGCTACATTCAATTCAAATGGAGATTTCATTTTTTTTTCCCCTCAAAATTCTTATTCAAGATTTTAATAGAAAATTGAATAAAAAGGTGTAAGAATAATATGTTAATGAGATAGATTATGAAAGTCACCGACAATGACGGTTGATACTTTTTATCATATTTGTTTTTAACTTAATTTGATTCTTATATTGTCAAATAACTGATATATATATATATATATATATATATATATATATATATATATATATATATATATATATATATATATATATATATGTTTTATTGAAAAAAAAGTCTTCTTTAAATGATTTTAAAACATTTTAAAATATCTTCTTTTAATATTTTTTTTTCATTTTAATTCTTTCATTCTTATATTTGAATTATATTAAAATATTCTATAAACTTTGGAGACGAATTAAAATTTAAACATTTAAACAGAGTAGAAAAAAAATAAAAGATATAGAATCTAACCGAAACAAATAAAAAAATTAAATAAAATTGAGAAAATCTATAAACGTTTGAAGGAAAATTGAAATTTGGGTACAATTAATGATGCAATGTTTAATAAACTTTTGTGTTTATTATAAAAAAAGAAATAAACTTTTGTGTTTGATGGGGTGAGTAAATATAGGCTCACAACTTGGTCAAAGTGTTGGCCCATTCGAAGGTGAAGGAAAATGAAAGTCGTTGAAAGTCGTTGAAAGTCACTACATTAACCGCTCAGAAGCCATTGAACAGTTGACCGAAAGACAACTCCTGTAACGCGTAAGAGTGAAAAAAAAAAAAAAAAACAGAAAGGACAAGAGACAGCAAGTGTGGATGCAGTCATTGCCTGTCTCGATTGACCAGTGAGTTGATGAACTAATTATCGAGACAAGCAGGAGAGAAAAACACAATTATAGTTTTTATTTGCTTGTTTGTTTTTCTCATTAATAAGTCAATAAACTTGAAGAAGAAATGGGATGGTGATTGTTGACCCCAGTTTCCGCGTTGTTTGCTGTAACCCACTTCATTAGTTCTTAGCAGCTCACAGCTATATTTATTTTCAGACACAAACTGGAGGTATCTTTCCCTTCCTTTTATTTTATTATGTACTTATAATTGTTGGGTTTCTTTTTTTTTTGAACTTACTTCTATGTTTCTATCTAGATCTCTTCTTCTTTATAGAAGATAAAAAGAACAGTAAATAGATCCATACGTTGAATTGAAGAAAGAAAGAAAGATTGATTACAAGGGAGATGGGGCTGAATCAGTGTTTTACAATTGTCTTCTTCTTCTTTCTCTTGATGGGTCTCTTTGCTTCTCCTTCTTTTGCTTCTACTTTCATCTCAGGTACCTACTTTCAGTTTCAAAGATCCTTACTTTTGGTTTATGTTACAAAGATACATATTGTTCATTGCTTTGTGTCTTTCTTTTTGGATGCAGATGGTGCCTTTGAATCACATGCTTCTACTGGCAGGAATCTACTTCAGACTAAGAAAGGTTGCCTTCTTTTACCACTTATTTGCTTTGCTTTATTTGCTCAGTTTAGGTCTAATTTTGTTTTGGGTTTCTCTAGATTGTGATCACCGTTATGTTTTCTTCTGTGATCTAAGTGATTCAAGTTTCTGTTCTTTTGTTCTGTACCCATTGTATTTGAGTTAACAATCGTGCTTGAGAAGAAAAATATGGTGTCTAGGTTTATCTAGTTTTCTCTCCTCTGGTACCCAAAAATTAAGTCCTTGTGTTAGGGTTCTAAAGGAAAGTTTATCTAGTTCTCTCTCCTCTGGTACTCAAAAGTCAAGTCCTTGTGTTCGGGTTCTAAAGGAAATTTCATCATTACTTCAAGCACATGATATGCTTTTGGATATCATACATTTACTACATAATCTTTGCTACCCAATTGCATTTGCTAAAACTGTCGTGGAAACTTATTATCACCTATGTCATTCAAGTAATATTTCATTTCCACTGTTATTTCTTCAACAGAGCTATTGGCGATGCCGAGCCGTTGTTTTTTTTCCTAACTTTTGTGGCTTGACAAAATGGTCATTGTTTGAAATCTTTAAAGCAGTTTGATTACATTTACATTAGTAACATCACAGGTATTCAATGTTGGAGATTTTCTTCCGCAACTCATCATGCATTTACATTGCCATTTCATAGAAGATATCAATTCTTATTAATTTGAAAACAATTATATGGTATATACATTTGCAAGCTCGGCAATCGGAAGCCTACTTGGACTTTGTTCTTCTTTTTCTTCCTTTTTTTCCTGTTAATGAAGTCAGAAAGTCACATGGGAGCTTCTGAAGATCGAATGTTAAACGAATTTGTGACCACTGATGGTCTGAGGATTTAAGAATACCTTCGCTGTTTGGTACCAGTTGCTTGGCAGCAACTTTATTCATAGTTTCAACCCATTTACAAGTCTAGAAGCTGTGAGATGATGGAAATTTGTAGAATGAATGGCGGTAGAAGATTACAGCTGAATGGATTCAAGATAGATCAATGAGAAAAAAGGGACATTAGAAGACCACAAAATTGTTGACTAAAAGCCTTAAGACTGAAATCTCGTTTCACATTTGTTGTGGTTTATAAATCACCCACTTAAAGTCAAAATTGATGGAATTACATGGGGGAGGAGATGACTGGTAGCGTTCTCTAATTGAAGCTATTACTATGGCCTTGCAAGTTGGTTATGCCTTCCTTCCAATTCTGTCCATTGTGTTTGGTTTTGATGCCACGATCTGCTATAACTACAGCACAACATAGCCAAATGTTTCTGCATTTTTTGTTGATCTCTGATGCATGTCAGTGAGTTTTCAGTTGTTGACTTGTTCATTTAAGATGCAAAGTATTGCGTTTGTTATCCTGAGGACAGATTTTTTTTTTTTTTGGCATATATTTGTTATACGATTGGGGAAACATAGGTAATCCAGTGTTGTTCTAGTCTTGCCAAAGAAGCCAACAATTCTATTCCAGAATTTAATAGGCTGTATCATTCTGCTTTATATAGCATGCTGATGGCAATGTATTGTCTTTTGTTATCTGCAGCTTGCCCTGTAAACTTTGAGTTTCTGAATTATACAATCATCACAAGCCAATGTAAAGGACCCCAGTATCCTCCCAGTAGCTGTTGTGGCGCATTTAAGGAATTTGCCTGTCCTTACACAGATGTGCTAAATGACTTGACCAATGATTGTGCATCAATCATGTTCAGCTACATTAACCTCTATGGGAAATATCCACCCGGTCTTTTTGCCAATGAATGCCGGGAAGGGAAGGAGGGACTTGCATGCCCTGCACTACCGCCATCAGAATTGGCTGATGAAAAAAATGGGAGTCAGATCATGCATGGTCCAGCCTTCCTGCTGATGCTCTTCGCTGGTTTATTGGTGGTGTTATTTCAATCATTTTGAAGGCCCTAAAATGTTGTCATTTTTTTTTCCTCCAGTAATTTCATTTGGACTTGGTAGAGGGAAATTTTTTGTTGTATTCCAACGCTGCTATCTCTAAAACTGTTCCTTTAGGCAAACCGAAAGGAAATCAAATTATATATAGGCTTGTGATCTGCTACTACCAAGTGGTAGGGACTAAAGCCTGGTTGTATCAAGTGTGTAGTTATGTATTTTTATCCATATAAATATTTTCAATTTTAAATTTAAGGCTTCCTCCATTTTATTTCTCTTCAGATATCAACTTGTTTGTGTTTTGCCAAAATTGCTTGTGCTCATATGATGTGGACCTGAGATGGTTTTGTCTTCATATGCGTCATTTTTATCTCTCGACCTGGTTTGTGTGGCTATCAATGGATGATACCATGTTAAATCAAAAATCATTTCATATCAGCAAAAACAGTCATCTTTGTGTAGCGATGAGGTATTTTTAAGTTTCAGCTAGTTGCGGAAGACATCCATCCTTGACTAGCTGCAAGCAGCATTGGCTGCAGCTGTGAGGAGTTAGAGAATTGCTTCGATATCATCAATCACTACTACCAAATGGCTTCTTCTCTAGCAATGTCTCCTCTTCCCATGGACAGAAATTTACTTCTCACAACTTCAACCACCACACCAGCTACTATTATCTCACTTCGAATGTGCCACAGCTTCCAGGAAGTAAAGCAATTGCATACCCAGTTTGTCGTGTCAGGGCTCCTTGGTCATCATCCTTTATGTGCTAGGAGGCTCCTCGAAGCTTATGTTACGATGTCGCAGATTTATTATGCCGTTTCGATCTTTGAGAGAATACCTTCTCCTGATGTGTTTGTTTATAACACCATGATTAGAGGCCTAACAATGGGTACGTTTCCCCATGACTCTTTGTTACTGTATAAAGAATTCCTACTTGGGTACCTAAAACCAGACAACTACACGTACACCTTTGTCCTCAAAGCATGCTCGCGTTTGAAAGCTCTTTCCGAAGGCCAGCAAGTGCATTGCCAGATAATTAAGGCAGGAATAGTACCAGATACCCACATCCATAGCTCCCTGATTCATACGTACGCTAATTCAGGAAGCATTGACGACGCAGAACGCATTCTTGGAGAATTCTCCGAAGAGAACACACTTGCTAAGAATGCCATGATTTCAGGTTACCTGAGCGAGGGTCATGTAGACAAGGCTAGAACAGTGTTTGATAACATGGCAGGAAAAGACGCAGCATCTTGGAGTGCATTAATGACAGGGTACACAAAGAATGGTATGCATGCTGAGGCATTAGTTCTTTTTCAAGAAATGATGGTTTCGAATATCCAGCCAAATGAAGCAGCACTAGTGAGCTTGCTCTCTGCCTGTGGACAATTAGGAACATTGCATCAGGGAAGGTGGATACATGCATACATTGATAAAACTGGAGTTCTGATGAGCACTAAACTCACCACTGCTCTCATCGACATGTACGCTAAGTGCGGCAGCATTGAGTGTGGCTCTGAATTATTTCAGAAAATGGCCAGGAGAGACATTGTAACTTGGGGAGTTATGATTTCAGCTTTTGCTATCTATGGCCACGCAAGAAAATGTTTTCAGCTGTTTGAGGAGATGCTTGCTGGTGGAATTCGTCCAAATAAAGTGATCTTTGTGACCATACTATCAGCCTGCTCACATGCTGGTTGTGTTGAAGAAGGGAGGCTATATTTCAGTCAAATGGAACATGATTTTGGAATAAAACCATCCATGGAACATTATGGATGCATGGTAGATCTCCTCGGCCGTGCTGGGCTGCTGGCAGAGGCGGAGGAACTAATCCTTTCAATGCCAGAAAAGCCTAATTCCGTTATCTGGGGTTCATTGCTAAGTGCTTGTAGAACTCACAATGACCTCAAGAGGGGGACTTGGGCATTTGAGAACTTGATAGAGCTCGAGCCTACGTCAGGGGACCGGTACAAGCTAGCAGGACTCATGTTTGCTAATGCAGGAGAGAAGGAAGAAGTTATTAAGATAAGGAAGATGATCCAGGAAAAAGAGATGGAGACAACTTGTGGATCCAGTTTCATTGAGGTGGAAGGCTCGGTCCATGAGTTCACAGTGAGGGATACTGTTCATGTTAAAGCAAGAGAGATACATGGAATGATGAAAGGTGTCAATAACGTTCTTGAGACTGCTAATGATTTTTCTTAGAAAGTCCATATGTAAAGTAAAAGAATGAGGAAGTGTGGACATAGATTCATACTTTTGGTTTTGTGGATCTAGGGCATTATCTGCCCCATGACCTTTGCGTTACCGGTTCTTCATCAATTGAATGTGAAATGCAAATTGGAGAAAAAACTGTGAAATATGTCCTCTTCATCACAAACTAAGAGTTAATAAACAGACTTTCTAGTTCGTGTTTCCAAGATAGATAACAAGCAACGAAGAATATTCATTAGCTTTGTTTACGATACTCGGTTTTGACATGTATACACAGCAACAAATTCTTATTTGAGGATGCTCATCCTCCAAGAATAAACTGACCTTGCAATCAGAACTATGGTTCCCTAGAAGCATGGACTTTCAAAATCATTCTTTTAAGAACCCTCCTCAGTCCTTACATACGGAAGGTTCAAGACAGACTTTTGCAGAAAAAGTGAAAAATGTATAAAGGAAATACAAATAAAGAATTTTGACAATCTTCACCATGTGAGCAGTGTTGGGCTTCTTTTCCACTGCTTCTTTATTATAGATGACAAGGCCCCTGGAAACTGCTGAATCTATACAAGCTGTTTCACCATGCTAGGTTAAATCTGGACTTCCGTCTAAATTGTTTTTTCGTCACACACCAGGAACCAGGAAAGGTGCTCAACTGTGTAGAAAGACAAGGGAAAGGGGTAAGGCCACATGGGCATATGGAAGGAGTGACATGTGACCCAGACCTAGATACTTGCAACTCCAAAGTCCATCAAAAAATGCCAAAGTTGAGATAAAGTGAATACTTATTATCAACATGAATCAAACTTAAAATTGAGAAGACCTGGGGGCCTAATAGTTGTGCAGAAACCAACTATGGTCACTTCAGGATGTACAGTAAGAACTGAACATGGCAGTGGCGAATATTTCCAATTTTGCGTAATCTAAAAATTTGGTGATGAAGTAACTTACATTGCCAATAAGCTTTGCCCCGAACCACGCACTGTCTACACCATAAGGAGGAGAAATGACTCTTATTCCGTTAGAAATTGATGGGGGAAGAACTCCATGCAATTCCTTCTCTAGCCTTTCTGGAAACAGTTTAAAAACATAGGTTCATAAGCACACATCCTTGTTAATTTTATTTCAATTTCTTAAACTTTTTAGATCAGATTGTTGTATCATCCCAATCATTCTTCATAATTTTATTTTTTTACCTGCAAGTCCCGGTAGACATGCAGTCCCTCCTGACAAAACTATAGTCTTGAACCAAGCATCTTCTCCAGTTAATTCCGCAGCATGACAGTGGTCCATGCAAAGAGCTACTGCCTGCTGCAAACCCATTCCACGCCTGTACCATATGCAAATGTAAACATTTCAACCAACCATCATGGGTTTATTATTTTAGTGGTGTCAAGTATAAAAAATACTTTGGTTGTTGGATGTGAAATAATGTGAACGAGAAAATATGGAACGTGGTGCAGGCTAAAGGCATCAATTTAAATGCAAATATGCAGTACCTAATATGCTTCAAAAGTTTTCAAATATCCACATTAGGGTTTGAAAAACAATAAAGTTTATCCAAGAATAACACCAATATGAGATGTATTCCAAGCAAACGAGTTTTGTGGTCAAATATGGTCTATCCAAGAACAACATCAGGATGAGAAAGCTTCAAAAACAGAGTCCTAGAGAAAGTAGCAGATTGTGGGAAGTTATGCACTTACACTCCAGCAATACGTGGCTGGAATAAGACCTCCCCAGTTTTAAAGCGCTCTTTTGAAAGGGTGAAACATCCTTCTCCTGGGAGTTCCAATGATGCTCGAGTATCTTTACACAGCTCAGCATCATAATCAGCAGCTACATAACATAGTCTCTGTATTTCCATGGTTCCAACAGAACATGAGAAGAAAAGGTTTCACCATTGAAATAACTATACAATATGGTCATCAATACAGTTAAAAAGAACATAATTGTGAAGCATGGGAAAGCTACTCGAGCTTGAGTTTGACCAAGTTCAAACCGAGATAAAGCCACATTATGCAGCATGAAAAGAAACAGTATACCTCTTTCAATGTGCGAACAGTGTAGAGAGATCCAAAACTAATATTATTCTGCTGCATCTGTTCTCTAAGAAATCCTGTTACTTTTAATGCTCCCATGCCCATGACTTCCACGCCCACCATGCGCATTACTTTACCATGTAAAACTGTAAAATGCAGCAGTCAGAATGCCAAAATCCTAAATCTCTATGATTTTGCAGCCATACCAGTTAGTAACAAAACCATCAGAGAAGGTAGAAACTTATGAGTGAGTAGAGCAAGTAAGAGCCCAGAATGCCAGGCATATTACAACTTGCACAAGTTAGGTGGAAACCTGTCTAATTGATTAATGAATTTGGAAAAAAAATGATATAATGACACATCATAAATAACCATGGAGGTCATTTAATCATATGCATACAGATTGTTTATTCATAAATGTGAGGCACAAGAAGGATAGCATAGCTAGCATTAAGGATGAACCAAAGCTATTTCTAGTTCAATTTATGCAACATATGCCTGTTAGGAAACGAATCAAGCAAGAAGATAAAACAGATTTACGTGGCTCTGGAAGTGTGCCTAGTCAACGGCTAAACTAGGAGTTTTTATTACGGTTTTCAATTGGCAGCTTACAAATACAAGAAACGATGTCCCTATTTATAATATGGACAACTAGGGTTATAAAAAACCTAACAGGCCTATATATTTGGCCTAAGGCACCTGGCCCAATACACTGAGGCTCAATATACTGTGAACCTTATCCACATCAGTCTCCACAACTTAATAATGGACCTATATATTTGGTCCAAACCACCTGGCCCAATACACTGAGGGCCAATATACTGTGGACCTTATCGACATCAGTCTCCACAACTTAACAATGCTTCGGATCAAGTTCCAAACAATGAGGACACATGGACAGAAAAGAAGGTAATCACTTACTTGGAACAACAGATGTGACATGAAAACCAATATTAACAACAATTCCCGAAGTTCGCCGTGCTGCATACAGGGCTAAAGTTGCCTGTGTTTATCAACAACCATAACACATTAATGTTCAGAGATAAGCAAAGCAATTCCAGAACCTCTAGATTCTGTCATTGAAACTAGGAAATGTTAACATTCACCAAAAAAGCACATAACAGAATAATTTTTCCCAAATTTCAAGATGGCACGAACTTGCATTTCACACAACTACATAGTAGAAACTCTCTATTCATAGAAATCTCTGCAATGAGATGATAACCAGTCTTTGGCATTCTTGATAAGTCCTGTTTACTTTAATATACATATCAATTTGACCAGTAGAATACATTAAAAACTAGAGGAATAAGTTGAAAAACTAAGGCAACACACCTGATTAATGGCACAAACAGCTGGAACGTTCATGTCAAACAAAGCTGTGTAGATTGCATCTTTTAGTTGCCTTCTTGATGCTTTAGCAGATTCAGTATCTGCAATCATAAAGATATAGAGAAAGTTTAGAGTAACAGATTATATATGACCATCCAATCTAAATTCTTGACATCATGAATTGACTAAATAATTTACATTTGGACACATCAGATTAGACAAAAAAATCGTCAGAGTTTTTTTTACCATAAGTAGATAAATGAATAATGCCATCAACATCAAAAGGTTAGATATAAAACACACAACGAGAAAAACAAAGCAATTGACATTCCTCGATGTAATCTAGTTAAAGTGGTAGCTAACCATCATAATGGCAAAGTGGAAGAGAGACGACAATTGGCTGTGCAGATGCTTTCACGTGCATCCTGTAAAGGCTAAAGAGATATTTTCAGCATCTTTAAGTTCTAGAGGCCATAAAGAATAGAAGCAAACATTAAAGGGGTATCAAAGAAAAAATATGCTCATATATCGAATATTGAAACCAGTATGTTACAAATGTGGTTTTGTATCTACAACGCAACACACACTGAGAAATTGGCTAACAAATCGAGAGAGAGAGAGAGAGAGACCTGCCATAAATAGTAGCAAAAAAATGTCGAAGCCTGGAGTACATTGGAGACTCAATGTTCCCAAATTCCTGCTCATCAGATAATTTCATTATGGGGTTTTGTAGAAAAGTAAATAAAATCCAAATTAGTAATTATGAGAAATGCAAAAGATTTCCCTTCCGGCAAAATTTATTCCACAAACACCTGAACTGCTAATTAAAAGAAAAGGCTCACAAAAAATGTTGCTGATCGCCCAGATGGACTAGGATATTTGCTCCAGCCATATTTGCAATAGCCCGACCCACCTTTATCGAGAACATTATAAAATAAAATAAAAAATCCATAAAATCTTTAAACAATCATAAGTTTAACTAGAAGGATTAATCAAGATGGTTAACCAATGAAATTAGTCCTTTTATTTGAGCTTTTAACACATGTAATGCTTACCATCAACAATAACAGCACCAGGAACTTCCACCCTTTTCCCATATATACGCATGAATGACAACTCTGTTATGGGACTAGAGAATGTCCTGTAATAAAATCACAAATTCATCTCCACATATTTTAAAAGGAAAGAAAAATAAAAAACCTTCAAAATTTTCCAATTCCAATACAAGTCTCACATTTTCCACCAATCTCTCTCCCAAAAAAAAAAAAAAAAACCAATTTTATCACAAATAAAAGCTCAACCAAACCCCCCATAACTAAAACAATCAAAATCACTTAATCATCCACAATAAAGCAATCGATAATTCAAAAAGGCTTCACTTTTACTATAGCTTGACTGTCTAACCAAAACATGATTATCTAAAAAAACAAAGCTTGAAATGAATACTGAGAAACTTACTCGATAGGATAGCCAGATCGGAGATGAGTCTCCGCGAAAAAGACAGAATCCCAGGTATCGTGATAATTCTCAAGAAAATAAATCCATAGGCGATTATCTGATACAAGCTGCCTCCATGACTTGCATACTGTACTCAATCTTGCTGCATCGTTTGGCCCCACCAATTTCACTATTTGCAACACCACATCAATCGGTAGCCGATCAAAAGCTCCCAGAGATGATGATGATTCTCCTGCGTAACTCCCTGTAGCCATCACTAAGTCAATGCTCGAAGTCGAGCAAGAACTCGCCCTATTCGACACAGATTCCCACACTTTCTTTAATAACATCGCCATAGCTGAAATGAGTTTTCTCTTATTCATTTCATGGTGGTGAAATTCATTATTTTTTGCGGGAAAGTTCTGAGCTTTTAACGTTTTTTTTTTGTGTTTTCTAGGGGAACAAACAGGAAGGGAGTGTAAAAGAGGTGGAAATAGAGGGGTCGTTGAGGTAGTTTTGTGTAAGCAAAAGCACTAGTAAAGGATGACGGGGATGGATATGATGGTGACACGTGGAGAAAGAGCAACCAGAGGATTTCACGATTAACTACCTTGGGTTTTTCACGTGAAGAGAAGCGGAGTTGTGGGACCAGACAGACAGAAGTTATGGCTTTCTTGATGTTGTGTAAAGAGATGATGATTTTGATGATGCAAAGAAATCGGTATCAGATGTTTCTAGACGTAGAAAGAACTTTTGGCAACTATCTACGTATAGATTCCTCCTCCTCCTCTATTTTCAGAATGAAATCCTGTAGTATTCTTAAATGAATATCATCAGTACGTAATAAAAATAGAAAACAATTTAACTTTTTTATTATTTTTATCTAATTTTAATTATTAAATTTAAAATCAATGATGAGATTTGAAGCATGATTAATCATGTTCCATTCTTTTTTTTCCTGCAAAATACAAACATTTATTATGTAATCCATTTTTTTATAATTAAAATGATAATTTCCTTTTGTTATTTTTTTAAGTACACGTTTAAAAAATGTTCGTATTTTATGTAATTCTATTTCAAATATTTTTTATTTTATTAAAATAACGTGTCTATGAATGTTATCATCCTATTTTTATCAATTAATATAAATAAAATATATTTGTTTTAAAAAAATCACTATGTTATTATAAAAAATGTTAAATAGTTTTTGTTTTTGGAAACGTTTAGCCTGTCAAGAGTAATGTATCCTTGAAGGATTTTTTTCCCTTAATGTTTAGCACCACTCATTTGATATTATTGAAAGGTGTTTTTTTTTTTTTCAATTTCTAAAATTTTTAGGAAATTGAATTTATGAAATCCATAAGTAAAGTCCTCTTATTACATGAGATTCTCGTTAAATGTATGAGATTTTTTGAAATATGATCAGAAAATAATACTTAAATTTCATGTTAATAATTAATAACACTTACTTCATGAGAAATAGAGAAATAAAAAAAGATAAATAATTTAAATAAAAAATTTGAGCTTAGATAAAATTAATTTTAGCACTACCTAACTTGATATTATTGAAAGTTTTTCTTAAAAACCAAATTCTAAAATTTTTAGATAATTGAATTTATGAAATCTATAAGTAAAATCCTCTCGTTAAACGAGATTCTCATTAAATGTATAAGATTTTTTGAACTATGATGAGGAAAGAATACTTAAATTTTATCTTAATAATTAATAATATTTACTTCATAAGATATATATATATATATGAGAGATAATTAAAATAAAAATTTGAAGCTTAGATAAAAATATTTTTATCACTCAAAAAAGGTCCGGATGTGATTTTTTTTTCCTTATTTGTACTTGTCTCTCACTTAAAACGAGATCCGTAGAGTAAATATTATTAATTACTTAATAAGTATTTTAAAATTTTTTATTTTTACTTGATGTGAAATTTAAATAGATGATGATTTTTACAAGGGGGGAAAAAAACAAAACAAAACAGAGAAGATGTTGATGTCATAGGTTTTGTTTGACATGGCTTATGAAAGGTACTTTTGATTTTGAGTCTTAGTTCGAAAATTATTTCTTATAAATAACTTATTACATAATGAATTAAATTAGAAGTTTGTCTGGTAAAAAATCAAAGACAATTTTTTTTTTAATTTACCTTGTAATAATTTTTAGATTTAAGTAAAAAATTATTTCTAGCCATACAAACTCGTAATTTTTTTCGAGTTAAAAAATTAAAAACAGTTTAAATCAATTTGTAAGAGTAGCACAACATATGTATAGCCCTAACTTATTTAAAAATTTTTATTTAAAGAAAAGTTATAAATATATTTAATCAGAATTATTTTTTTACTTAAATCAAAAATTTGTTACAAAACTGAGTAAAAAATTTGAACCTAATTGATGTATTTTTTTTTTTAGAAGAAATTGAGAATTCGGTGATATGATAATCAAGGACTAATTGGATAATTAAAATTAATGGAATGGCGCCAACAAACATTATTTAAATATATTATTTCATGTAAATCATTCTATACGTAGTTAATTAATTACTGAATGTGTGTATGTGTATGATTTTACTTAAATTTGCTACAAATTTGAATAAAAAATTTGGCTTGGCCAAAAGTTAAAAATTTTTAAATTTAACTTATGAATTCTAACTTCTACTGCTATTTTTCTTCAAAAAAAAAATTATTTGAGTTATTTTTACCAAATATACTTCAAATTCAAAATCATTTTAATTTATTTTCTTCGTGATTTATTTATGAAAAATAATTTTGAATTATAACTCAAGATAAATAAAAAAAACTACTTTTCGCAAACCATGCCAAATATACTCTAAATCACCCTGGAAGTATACATAAGGTTAGTAGCTATATCCATTGTTATATAATAAAATAACTATTCAATTTGTATTTATATTTTTAATTAAATCAATTTTATTCGTGAATATATATTAAGTTTTCGATTTATCATTCCGTCGTAATTTTTATATTAAATCTTTAAAATCATTCATATAATGTATACATGATTGATTTTTTTATAAAGTATCCTTAATAAAGTTTTTTGTTGTCGCATTCAATTGGATTCTAATACAATACTAAGTAGTTTTAGAGTACAAATGTATCGGTCCAAATTCGTAACTCTCAACAATTACTTCTAAGAGAGTGATTAACAATTAGGCATGCAAAAAGTATCAACAATATACCATGACTAATATTATTCGAAACTTTGATTGATTTAGATGTCAAATTCTATTTAGTCATCGTCTTTTTTTATCATATCGGACTAACTATAGCGGTTGCTCCATAAAAATTCTTATAATAACTTGAGAGGAAACACGTTAATTTTTTAATTAATTTTTATTTTAGTTATATTTGAAAGGTACTTTTGAATTTGTTCATATGTCAGCTAAAATTAAATTTTATTCAGATGAAACTTTAAAACATGAATTCTCAAGATGCATTTAAAATAATAGATTGTTGATCAATATAAATCTTTTACAAATAATTATTGCCCTTGTTATACAAACAAAATAAATAAATAGTAATAAAACCATAGCATAGTAGGAGTAGGGCTGCAAATGAATCGGATATGACAAGGGCAATAATTATTTGTAAAAGATTTGGTCATTTTAATGAACCGATTAACATATTCGAATATGTTAATCGGTTCATTAAAATGACCAAATCCGTATCCATCTTGATCCGATTTAAAAATAATATTTTTCATAACAAATATAATATTTTTAACATATTTAAAAATAAAATATAAAAATATATATTAAAATGAAAATATATTAAAATTTAGAATTTATTTATTATAAAATTTAAATAACACATATATTTCTATAGCGATGACCGTATTTTCAAAAAATCACATATAAGTAATTTTTAATTCAATTTAGTGAATAAAATTATAAATCGACTTGAATACCTTTGAAAGAGCGGATGCTATTATATTTATCATCTTTTTATTTTTGCTATCATGCAAACAAAAAATATAAAATATTTATTATTTGTTTTTTAGTTTTATAATATTTTATACACAGTTCAAAATAAAATTTTATTGAGATTATTTAATTTTATGCTTTTGAATTTTATGAGATTTTGAATTTTTTACGAAATTAACAAATAAAACATTATCTTAATATATTTTATTATATATAATGTGATTGAAATATTTTATATTCAAATGATATATTAAATATAATAAACATAATTTTTTTTAAAAAAATTAAGTAGTAAATCTTGATAAAGTTTCAAATTTGATTCGAGTTGAATTAATTAACAGTTTGTAAATAAGTACAATGGAGTAAAAGTATATAATAATCAAGGGATATCAGTAACAAACAATTAATAATGCATCCACGTAAAGATAAAGATGCAACCATTTTTCTATTATTTAATAATGCCATTATTATTATTATCATCATCATCTTTATATAGTCTGATATTTTTTTCTCTCTAGATCGACGGAGAGGAGCTCCCTTTCTCCATTTGCATAGCTCATACGCGGGTACAATTTCTTATTTTCTGGCGCTATTTCTCCTACCCGATCTTAGGGTTCCTCAATTTTGGTCCTCATAACGTACGAAATTCTATCAAGATTCCTTCTTTTTTTTGGGTTAAAAAAGTTCTCTACTTTAGGGTTTCTATCGATTCTTCGGGTCTAGGTTTTTGATCCCTTTTTTGTTTTTATAATCATCATTAAGGTGGGGTTTGATTTTTTTCTCCTAATTTTGCCAAAAGTTGTTGAAGTTTGGGATTTGAAATTCAATTGGTATTTTGGTGAATTGGGGTTTGGATTTTCTGGTGCCAGGATTGTTTAGTAATGTTGTTTTGTTTAAGAATTGAGAAATCATGAGCTAATTTTGGATTTTCCAATCAATTCGAAAGATAATCGGGGAACCTAGAATTGGTTTTAGGATTTTTTTTTTTCATCAATTTTAGTTTTAAAGAGATATGATGGAATGTTGTTAATTCCTGTCCTAACTTATTGAATTCATAGGATTGAAAATTAACCTAAACGAATAGGTTTTTATTTTTTTGGTAATGCTTTTATGTCACCTGTAATTACTTGGTCTTGGGTGTTAATTATTCTGTTGTGGTGAATTAGTTTTGCTATATTTGATCAGACTTTGTTGTCGTAATTGTTATTGATTGCTTAATATTCAAATCCTCCTCGAGTACTTACTTCATTCCGACAAGCAGTGAAAACTGACTTGTTCATTGAATCAATAATGATTGTTATTGTTTGTTTCCTTTATGTATCATCATGAAATATGAGGAAATATATCTGGATGTTCTGTTTTCATGGTTTTTGTTGTAAATTTGCAGCACATCATATACGTTTCAAATTGTGTTCTAATTTAGTTAGCTGCATTGGTTGACAGTGGTCTTTACATACAGATATTCCTATAATCCATTCCTTCCTATAGACAACAAATTTATAGCTTTTTGCAATATTTCCAAGCATTTCAATCTGTTAAATTTTAAAATTAGTCTGTGTTAATTTTGCTTTATGGTTATGTTAGTTTCTGTTGATGTGTAACTGATTGGCTTGAGTTGATATTGCTGGGTAGGTGTGGAATCGTTAGCAAAATATGTCCCATTACCAAGGGGATGATGCTGAATACATGGCAGATGAATATGAAGTGGAAGATGTTGATGATGACATGGATGAAGAATTTCGTGCTAGGGAGATGGGCTCAGACTCTGATGTTGATGAATATGACTACCCGGTTTGTGATCTCCACCACATTATTCATACGGGGAATCCTAGATAATTAATGCCACTGTTACTTTGGTCTTATTTAGGGTTTGAAGCATTTTTGTGTGGTTATGCTGCAGAATAACAAAGTAGCTGATACGTCTGCTGCTGATGCTAGAAATGGAAGAGACATCCAGGGAATTCCTTGGGATAGACTTAGCATCACTAGAGAGAAATACAGGCAAACAAGGCTAGAACAATACAAGAACTATGAGAATATACCTCATTCTGGAGAAGGATCAAGAAAGGTGAATTCTGATTTCATCTCTTTTCTAAGTGCTCTGTGTCTGCAAGATTACTTCAACAGTTTCATACTCTTGTTTTGCTGCATGCAGGATTGCAAAACGACTAAAAAAGGGGGATTGTACTATGAGTTCAGACGAAATTCCAGATCTGTCAAATCTACCATTCTTCATTTTCAGGTTAGTGAGAAGCCAGTTATTTCTGCAGAGAAAATTATTGTGACGAAGCATGGTGCCTGTGTGAAGCACCTAGTAGCTGTAGATGTATGGTCGATTGCAGATAGGCATGGAGTAATTGTGATTTTTGATTGACTGACATACATGTGGTTTGGTGATGCAGTTGAGGAACTTGGTTTGGGCTACAACAAAGCATGATGTCTACCTCATGTCACATTTTCAAGTCATTCACTGGTCTTCCTTAACTTGCAGAAAGTCTGACGTTCTTGATGTTTCTGGACATGTGGCACCAAATGAGGTCAGTTTTCGTGACACTAATTTAGATATAATGAGCTTCACTTCCTCTATCCGTGTCGTGGATCAATATTTAGATTTGATTTATTCTATGAAATCGATCAATTTATTCTGTCTTCTAGAAACATCCTGGAAGTCTGTTGGAAGGATTCACGCAGACTCAAGTTAGTACCCTGGCAGTAAAAGATAATCTGCTAGTTGCTGGAGGGTTCCAGGGAGAACTTATTTGCAAAGTAAGTTTAAGATCTTTCTTTTGCAAGTCTTTTTCTTGGAACAAGTGAAGAGGATCATAAAATGAGTGACTATTTTAGTAGATAAATGCCACCTGTATGAGGTGTTGGCACTTTCTCAGCTTGTTTTTGTCACTCGGAAGTTTAAAGTTTTCGATTAAGGAAAACTATATTCACGGCACCTCGGATATTTGATTAAATGATTTTTCTGGTAGTAACAAACAAAGACTAACAATCAAGCTTTTTCTGGAATGCAGCATCTAGATCGGCCTGGAGTAAGCTTTTGTTCCAGAACAACTTATGATGATAATGCCATCACAAATGCTGTTGAGATTTATGATAGCCCAAGGTATTTATTTTCCATTTTGCTGCGGGTGGACTATAAAATTTTCAATGCAGAAATAACCTTGCTTTGTTGTTTTAATTGCCAGTGGTGCAGTTCACTTCACTGCTTCAAACAATGACTGTGGAGTTAGAGACTTTGATATGGAGAAATATCAGCTATCAAAGCATTTCCGCTTTCCTTGGCCAGTGAATGTGAGTAACTAATCCAGTTTGGTTATTGGAACATGTTATTTTCTATTATTTGAAACCCCATGCTCTACGATTTGTGATACTTGGGAACTCTTTCACTGATGACCCCCTTAACAATGCCATGTATAGTTTCGACTCTGTCACCACATGCGGGTGGGTATTTTGGAATTAGTGGCCTTTTAGATAAAAGGCTGGATTCCTCTTATAGAAAGAGGAGATCAAATCGTAGTAATAAATCAATTTTTTTTGTTTTCCACAAGTACAGGTTAGTACTGCACATAAAATGTCAGGTCTGCTTCATGGGTTAACTGGTCTTGAGCCTTGTATTTATACAAATTGTACATTCCTCTGTGGATGGATTGTACAGTGGGATTTAATATATTGTTGCATTTCTCTGCAAGTGTTGCTCTGTATGGAGTAAGTCAACTGTTATCAGTGTTGTATCTTTAGCCTCTTCGTCTAGTGGTTGCTAGGCACCAGGTGAGGAATGACACATCAAGCATTCAGCGAATTAGTTACTTTTGATGGCATGCTGGCATTTTGCTGTATAAAGAATAACATTGAAGCATATTCATTCATTTTCTCTTCGATCTTGAGTACATTTTGCTTGACGGTGTACCTATTGTTTTCCTGAGTTATGTTTTTCTAGGGAGGCATGATGACCTAGTTGTTGCCTTACTTGATAGAAGGGGTGGCTGATGCCAGGTTTCTTAACAACTGGCCCTGCATAGAAACATTTGATGGTAATTGCTTGTTTTTTGTGTCATGCATGCAGCATACTTCCCTTAGCCCTGATGGAAAGCTTCTAACAATTGTCGGGGACAACCCGGATGGTATGTTGGTGGACTCCAGCAGTGGAAAGGTACTTGTCTTTCCTGGCCATTGACTTTACAAATATGAATTCTGTGGCGGAGTATGTGTGGTAATTTGAATTTTGAATGGTTACAGACCGTGACATCCTTGTCTGGGCATCTGGATTTCTCGTTTGCATCAGCATGGCATCCTGATGGGATCACCTTTGCTACTGGGAACCAGGACAAAACGTGCCGCGTTTGGGATGTTCGGAACCTATCCAAGTCACTTGCTGTTTTGAAGGGCAATCTTGGTGCAATCCGGTCAATTCGTTACACATCTGATGGCCAGTATATGGCAATGGCTGAGCCTGCAGATTTTGTGCATGTTTATGATGCGAAAAATGGATATGAAAAAGAGCAGGAGATTGACTTCTTTGGTGAGATATCTGGTGTTTCATTCAGTCCTGACACAGAAGCTCTTTACATTGGAGTGTGGGATCGCACATATGGTAGTCTCCTTGAGTATGGCCGTCGCCGGAACTATTCATATCTTGATTCCTTTGTTTGAGTCGATTGCAGATATGTGTGTTGGTCTGGTTTTTTTCTTGATGCAATTGAGGAACTCAATAAAATCATATAATGTAGAAGAAGGTTTAGGTGTATATGTATTACTAGTGTGGAGTTTTAGGTTCCCGTGGTACTATTAGTCTTGGTGCCATTGTTGTTGGGTTGTTATAAGATGTGTAGAAAGGAGGGAATGTATAGCAGGCTAGAAAGTAACATTCAATGTGAACAAGAGAATGAAATCAAACTTCTGCTTCTTCAGGTAGAAGACATTTCGTAAATCCTTTCTGGCTTTCACCGTGTCTTGTTAATCTTATTTCTTGTGATTTCTTGTCTTTCTGTTTTGTTTCCTGCTCCATCTCATTGCTATTTGCAAGGTGAAAAGTGAAAGAGATTAATAATCATAATGAATCTTTTCTTTGCCTAATCATTTTGAGATCCACTAGTTCACTGCTTTCTGACGTGGGCTAGTACCTTCTCTTTCTCCCATTCTAAAAAATGAAGCTAAGAAGCTTTGGGCTCCTTTTCTTACATTAGTCTAATTCATTCTCATCTTCCTGATCATCAGCATTAGGGCTGCTTTCACCTTTCAACACTCCTTTGTTACTTTTATATATGTTCTTCTTCGTAGACCAATAGTCACTAGTATTTAAAGATCCAATTTTTTTTAAAAAATATTTAAAGACAATATTGACTTGAAATTAGAACACTGTTTTTTGATGTTTTTCTAGCAATCATAGCTTCGTATTCCTCGGCACTTAATCTCTTACTGGTTTTGTACCAACCCTTTTCAAGACACTGCCTTAAATTGATAGTAGCATCTGCAGCAAACCCTTTCGTCTCAAGAAATTCAGTTTTTGATGCTGAATAAACATGTTTTGCACATGATTTTCCTTCAGGACACTGTTTTTTTATAAGATTTTGGAGCCATAACTGGCTATAATGAATTATGATCTGAGATAACTTGTGTTTGTTAATTTATTTTATTTATATAGGATTAAAAAAATAGAAGGTAACCGACTTATGTTTTTTTTTTTTCTCGGACTTCTTGATGCAATCCGGAATCCTCATAATTAATAACTAATTGTATATGAAATCAAATAGAAGTATAAAACAGAAAAAAAAAGATTTGTTTATTAGCTGAATACTAACAATTACTGTTGTTGTTTATATCTAATGGCAATTTTGCTAAAGTTGGGTTTTTTTTTTTAATCCACTAAGATATTTTAGATTTAAAAATTTAAACTAATCCTTCGTTTTTATATCGAAAACACAAAATAAAAACAACTATCTCAAATTATTTTTTTATATATAAAAATTTAAATTTAAAATTATTTATTTAAATAATTAAAGAAATTAAAACTACTTTCACTCGAGCTAACTCTCTCGACTAAAGTTAGGTTTTTTTTCACAACTTGTCGTTGGACAAATATAACAAAAGTGGTGTAAATTCCATGGTCACCATTTAGGGCTAAAAATCTCTGATCCACAAAGAACCAATGAAGCAAGGACAACTCACTTACCAAAATCTTTCTCCCATCGTTTCCATCCTCACAACTCCAATCTCTCTTCTCTAGTGGAATATATGATCTTTATCCACCATTACAGAGTCTCATCATCATTCAAATTTCTCAAAATCCAAACCTCTTTTCAACTCTCACAAGGGAGGCACACCAGCAATGGCAACCTCAAGCTTGCTCTTCACACCCACCATCCAAAAGAACCACCACAACCTCACCCCATCCAACGTCTCATTCCAAGGCCTTAGACCCCTCACCAAGGCCAAAACCACCTCCCTCTCCAAGATCGCCGTCAGTTCACCGAAAAGGAGCTTAGCCGTGAAAGCAGAGCTTAACCCATCACTGGTGATAAGCTTGAGCACAGGGGTATCACTCTTTTTGGGCAGGTTTGTGTTCTTTAACTTCCAAAGGGAGAACGTGTCAAAACAGGGCCTGCCTGAGCAGAATGGAGTGACTCACTTTGAGGCAGGAGACGTGCGTGCCAAGGAATATGTTAGCCTTCTGAAATCAAACGATCCAGTTGGCTTCAACATTGTTGATGTTCTTGCTTGGGGATCCATTGGCCATATAGTTGCCTACTACATCTTGGCCACAGCCAGCAATGGCTATGACTGGGACCCTAGCTTCCCATGCTGCTTTTAGATTCTTTTTCATTGTCATGCCTTTTAATTGATCGTGCTTCACTTGTGTAAACCTTGTATAGTGGTTTATTAGAGAGGCTTACTTCTTCTCCTTTTGGTTTCTACTTTCTTTCTTTTTTCTTTGGGAAATTTATGGTTTGGATGATCATCTTTATGTGTAATCTTTCACTTTCTTTGCTCTGTGATGTTCTATCGAAGCACCAAAATGATTTGCACTTTCTCTTTACAATTTTTTGGAGTAGCGCACAGGCATTCAAGACATCATTGGTGGAAATAAAAGTTACTGCCTTTCAAATGGCATTAATTAGTCATGGATTGACAAAGAAAAAGAAAAAAAAAAGGGGGCTTTAGTCCCAAAAATACACATTCCAATGCATGGAATTTGCGAATTACAGATTTTTCGATGCATTCCATCCTAAAGTTCTTTGAGTTCCAAGTACAAGCTTTGAGATTTCAAAATGGTAGCTCCAATTTTCTAGATTAGAGAGGTGCATGCTTGGTTTCCCTTGCTCCAATGCTGGCCTTTTCATTATTTTATTTATTATTTTATTTTATTTTTTTGTAAATATCTGTAGTTGAAAGGAAAAAAAGGCCTTGAAAATAGGATGAAGAAAAGCGAAGGGATGATTTTAGGATGCTCTTCAAGAGATTGATTAGTTATTGGCTTTACATATTCATGAATAGGTCAAAAGGGGAATTCCTTTTTGAATTTGAGATGTGATTTGATATAGATAATTAATATCTAATTAATTCACCAAAAAAATAAAAAAATCCCAATTATTATAATATTTAATTGTTATTAATAATTAATTTCTTAATGATAAAATACTTTCGTTTTTTCTACATGAAAATTTTTAAGTTTAAAAAACTTTATTGCAAAAAAAAGCTAAAATAATTCTTTAAAATTTTTATACGAAAATTTCATGGAATCACATGTGACACCAACTATTCCTTAGTTTATTTTTTTTATTACAATGTTTAAGGCTAATCTTTTATTATTAGCCTATATATATATATAAAAGATTTTATTATAAACTTCAAACCAAGATAAAGACAATTACTATGATAACCTTTCAATTTACAGGTGCAATCATATATATTGTTTTTGGCCTAATCTAATCCTCCCCTCCTCTATAGGTGTCTTCCTTTTTTACCGCACAAAATATTTCTGGGATTTTCATGCTATTCTAATCTAACTATTCCGCTATATTATTATTATTATTATTATTATCTCTTACAATCTTATTTATAGGCTAATAACAAAAATTTGTCTTCTTGTCGGAAAAATAAAATTTCCATTGGGTATAAACTCTACTTATATCCTTTGTTTACCCGAAGAAAATGTCTGCCCATAACCCAACTGCTACAATTATTTCACCTCAGAAGCAAGAATTACACAGTGAGACCACAAATGACCAATCTTTCAGGTCCTACCCTCCAGCTACAGCCAAATATGAAGATATTGCTCAAAGTCCAGACCTTTTTTGGGAAAAGCTCAAAGCTTTTCATAATTCCTTTGGCACCAAATTCATGTAAGTTGTTTCTCTGCAAACCCTTTAACGCACTTCATTTATTTTTTTTATTATTCTTAGTTTTTTTTTTATTTTTCATCTGGGTCTTTTTTAGTTGATGGTTTCTTTGTAGTTTCAATTGTTGTTTCTGGGTTTATCCTATGAATAATGTCATCGTATTGAAATCTAGCTGCCTTTAGTTTCCATATCTGCTTTTCTATTTTTTCTGTCTTATAAATTTTTTATATTTGGTTGTGATAATATTCTAGTACTTCTTGCGATTAACTTCACCCTTAATGTGGAGGGTGGAGAGACAAATAATTTAATGTTTTTCTAATTTTCCAAGTTAAGCTACAAGGGTCAAGACTCTGAAAGTTTAGTGCTTTCTCCTAGAATTTGATGTTTCCAAGATTTTTGAAGTATTGGGCACCAACTTTGAAATGCAAAGTGAATTGGGATTTTTCTGGGCTGTTGTTTATCTTATGAGTGTGCAGATTTCTTTGATGTTTCATTAAAGACTTGCCTTTTTTTTTACTTGGGGTGATTGATTCTTGTGAATTTGGTAAAATGGTAACTTGTTTTTGGTGTATGGTAATGATCTTCAATAAAAGTTATGATGCTAGTGATTGAATGAGAAAAAAAAAAGTGCATAAATTTATCACTACCAAAAGAACTAAAGAAAAACACCTTAATTGGTTACTTGAAAGAAAAAATAGATTGAGCTTCTTAAATACTTGAATCTTCCAAAGGCACTTGCTTGTAAGTGGAGCTTATGACTCATTAGTTGACTATATATTCTTATGTTTTGGCCTTGATCTTATTCTCCCAGTCTCAATTCAATCTTATTTATTAAGTAGTGAACTGTATAACCTTTCCTCCCTTTCCACTTAACTGTACATCCTTCAAGATGTCTCTTTGGTTTATTTTTATCCAGATATAAAAGGCTTCCACGTTATCATCAGCTTAAGGACATTGATTTTCTATTTTAATGCAGAGCTGGATTAAAATTGAAAACAGTTATGGCTTCCTTAAAAGAAAAAGGAAAAAAGAAAAAAGAAAAAACAACTGTGGATGAGGGTATGATTGATGTTCTTTGATTTAATTTTTTTTTATTGGATAGGGTTCCTACTGTGGGAGGAAAGGCTCTAGATCTTCACCATCTTTTTCTGGAGGTCACTTCTCGTGGTGGCATTGAGAAGGTATGAGTTATTAATTTCTTTATTCTTGTGTCTAGGAGCTGTTCGCAATGTAAAACTCTTAAAAAGGATCCTTCCCTTCTTATAATCTGTTGCCACCTCATCATCTCATAACTGTAAAATGGGTAGCATTAAGTTTGGGTTTTCTAGTGAAATGACTTGCCTGACTAATTTATTTTGCAACCTCACAGCAATGTGAAACTTGATTGATGTTTTTGGAGACTTTTGAGTTTTGTTGGAAGTATCATCAAATTCTTTCAAGGGAATTCTTTTTTGTTTAGTTTCCCTTTAAACTCTTTTGAAATGTTTACAGGTAATTAGAGATCGTAAATGGAAGGAAGTGATTGCAGCCTTCAACTTCCCAACAACAATTACCAGTGCATCATTTGTCTTAAGGAAGTATTATCTATCATTACTCTATCATTTTGAGCAGGTCTATCACTTCAACAAACAAGTTCCTTCAGTTTCTGTGACTGGTAATTGGAGATAACATTCTTGTCCTTTTTTTTCCTTTTTTACAAAATTAACCAATATATACTTTTGGCTTTCCATTCTCACAGATGCAGTGAATGGGAGCCTTGGTAATGGATTTGCAACCCTAGAAGAAGGTTCCGTTACAAACCAGTTGACTGGTAAGGGCATGTATCACTGTCAACTACTGTTGTTAATGTGATGGCCTATTTATTTTGTCTTATCTTAAATTCTGTGTTGGATCTTCTTTTGCATAATTGTTGCACTTTTTTTTCTCTTTTGTGATTTCAATAGACCCAAATATCTTGCCCTATGGTTTGGAGCTTTTTGAAGAGAAACGAGCAATAAGGATGGCAGTATCATTGATTAAATAGTGGCCTTTGGTATCAATAGTCTCCTGGAAAGTTCTATAGCTTTTGATCTATTTCAGTGCGAGATGTCTACAGCAGTAAAAAACTTTCTGTCTTCTAGGTGTTTGGCTCAGCTGAAAATTCATTTTCCAACCACTGGATATGTGTAGTTGGATTCTCTTTTGTACTTTAATGGTTCCTAATTTCACTTTTTGGTCAACTCAGAGAATTGCCTATGAAGAGTCAATATTATGGGCCATGAAGTAATTTACTAAGTTCATCCCTGATACTTACTTGAGTTGCTGAATAGATCCATCAATACTGATTGAGAGATGTGAATGAGTTGAATTGCTGGTCCCTCAGTCTAGTAATGAACGAGAGAGAGAGAGAGAGACTGTGAGAGTGACATAGCTGAAATTTACCTAATGACAATTATGAAAGAAACATAGCTGAAATTTTATTTGCTATTTATCATCTTGCTTTGGAAACTTGGTGTGCAACTTTAAGTTGTGCATCAATGCTACCTTCTCGTACCTGTTTATGTGCTGAATCTTTTCTGACTGTTGAATTATACCGTCTGCAAGTGTATTGATGACCGTTTTCAATTTTAGGAAGTCAGCAATTGCAACTTGGCTGTTCAGTGAGTGGAATCATTGATGGCAAATTTGATAATGGATATCTGGTTACTGTGAACCTGGGCTCTGATCAGCTTAAAGGTGTCCTATACCATATTCCTCATACATTTCACGAATCTCAGGATTCTCGTGCTTCAGATTTACCTCCTCACCGGCGTCGAAAGAGATCCAGGTTAGCCTTACGTGATCCCTCTCAGCCCAAGTCAAACAGGAGTGGCTACAATTTTTTCTTTGCTGAGCATTATGCCCAGCTAAAGCCCCTACACTATGGGCAAGAGAAAGTCATTGGCAAGAAGATCGGGCTCTTATGGAACAACCTTACGGAGTCAGAAAAACAGGTATGAAAAAATATTTGTACCTTAAATCTTAACTATGGATTTCTCTATTATAATTTCCATTACTGATCTTATACCTGCTGCCTCTTTTAAGCTTCTTCTTCTATGGTCTGCCACTTCTTGGTGGCATGACTTTTATTCCCAAAATAATACCAATGTAATGGTGTGACCATAGTCTTTGCATTCTTTTGCTTCTTAACTAACTAAATTTTTTGATGTATTCAAACTAGTTCCACAATGACAAGACATTAGACATACATGCTTTTGCATTTACCTCATTTATGGATTTCATGCCATTACTTTCCTTCCATTGCCATTTTATTGAATTGTCTTATGTTCGTCACTAATCCTTATGAATAAGCCATCCTGACTCTCAGCTCCAAGAAAAAAGATGAAGTTTTTAAGGCCAAAATTTTATTCTCTTTGTCACTGTTATTACCGAAGCCTGTATCGTTCTAGTTCCTAATGGTATCGAATCTGGAATTTGCACCAGTGAACTTCACAAACACATGTCTATAGGTCATGTAGGTGGTTTGATGATGATTGTTCTGCGCTGAACCTTTCCTAACAAGCTCTTTCACATCTATATTTAAGGTGAATTGTATTCCCAATAAATATTTGAAATGTTGAATTGCTATCTCTACTTACCGATGCTATATACATACATAGATGCATTGTATACTTGTTACCTGGTCATCCACATAATTATAAAAGATGGAAATATGCAAATATACAGCCCTCCAATCTTTGATGATCCCAACAACACTCTCACCACTTTCCTTTCTTGCAATGCAGGTTTATCAGGAGAAAGGTTTGAGGGACAAGGAGAGATACAGGAATGAAATGTTGGAATACAGAGCTTCATCTGTTCAATAGTTTAGATATGCATTTAGGCGCCCTAATAGCTAGGACATCTTTTTTCTATTTTCTTTGTAGTTTTCAGTTCTGCTGTTGTTGACGATGCTGTAGTTAAAAGGTTACTGGCTTTTGTATTTAGGAGCATCCTTGTTATAGGTTTGTTATTGCAAGGAATTTAGAGTAAGTGGACTTTTCTAATCAATTATGTTACGCTTATGCCCTAATTTTATCAGTCAAGGAGTTTGAACTTTCACCGCCTCTGGCTTCTCTTTGTAAAAGCCGACTCTTCCTCTTACTAGCAATCAATCATGGTGGTCCATCTCCTTATCCCCAAGTTGTCCTGATCAAGTTGAGTTAAAAGGCTCATGTTTTGACTTGTATTTCCATTTTCCTCCTGGTATTTACCCAAGAAGCCCATGAAATTGGATTTATTTACTCCTAGTAATCATCTAGGTCAAAACCTTGGGCTGAAACCCAGAATTTTTTTTTTTTTTTTTCACTTTTTAAGCATGGAAGGTAGGCTGACTCTTTAATGCAAAATATTAAAGGAGAGATATCAGGGGATACTGCTAAGCAAGCAAGTAGTGTTTTTTCTAATCCTACCTTGGTTCGGATTCTACGAAGTCTAAACCTCGGATTGGACTGACGGTCGTCACTAGGTAAAAAAAGAAATCTTTTTCAAAAAAGGAAAAATATATAGGAGCAAGAGCGATCAATTAATAGCCTTATTAAACAAGATTTTCTCTCAAACAATATGGCAATTCACAATTTTCTCTGGGGGGTTTGGATTCTAGGAAAATCTTTATCCGATTGTAATTTAATTACTTTCCTCCGGAAACACGCAGGAAAACGAAGTCGGTTGCTTTATTGCTTCCCGGTCCCCACTATATATATAGAGACACAAACTCACTTGGTCTTTGAATGTATCTCAACCTCTAGTTACTGCAGGTTTGTTTAAAACAGCACCTGCCACTTTGTTTCTCTCGTTTACAGCTCAGCCCAATTTGCTGTTTGCTCCCTACCTACAATATCATGTCTAGATCGTGCGATGTTTGCAATAAAGTGTTCCCTAATGGAAAATCATGGGGAGGCCACATAAGGGCTTGTTACAAGAAGAAGAGAAAGGAAAAGGACCAAGAAGATATTGAAGATGGCATGGAATATTTTTGCGCTTCTTCAGAATCAGAATTAAAGTTTGAATTTCATGTTGGTGATGGTGGTGGTGACGATGGTGGTGAGAGTAGTACTAAAGGGTATGTGGAACCCATTAATTTGATGGAGCATCTCCCACAGGGTTGGTCTACAAATAGCAAGAGAAGAAGAGATTCCACACAAGATATGCCTATACCTGCTGCTTTAAATCAAGCCAGTGAGACTAGTTGTACAGATGAGATCCTTAAAATTGCAGCCTTAAAACTTGTATTACTGCCTAGAGTCTCTGATAGCAAAAAGAAAGGTATCGGAGAAGAATTAACCACTTATCGAGATAAGCTTGCTCATCACCTTGGCGTCAATAAGAAGCCAACGAAAAACAATGCTCACACTAAAGAAAAGAGGCCTTCAGAGTTTGTAGAAGCACACAAAAAAACTTATGTGTGCAGGGAATGCGGGTTAGTTTTTGACAACTTCCAAGGTCTTGGCGGCCACCTAGCAGCCCACAACAGAAAAAGGTTGAGGGAGACAGATGCGGAATTGGATTTGATGGACGCTGCTCGTCAAGATTCAAAAGACTCTCCTGCTAGAAAGGAGTATAAGTGTAATCTGTGCGAGAAAAGTTTTCCGAGTGGACAAGCTCTAGGAGGACATAAGAGCTATCATAGCTCTGGTTCTGCAGGATATAATCGCCCCAGAAAAGCTCTAGGAGAACATAAGAGCCACCATAACACTCCTCATACCGAATTAAATCACTCTGGACAAGCGCTAGGAGGGCATAAAAGACATGGTAGCGCTGTGCATGCGGGATATGATCACTCTGAACAAGGTTATCAGAGTCATAATAGCACTGATAATGCGGGATATAATCACTGCGCCTCCAGCCGCGAGACATCTAGTGGAGTAGTTAGTCATTCCCACCCGCCGTCCAGTGTAGAGATTAGTCATCCCGATCCTCCACTCGGCTGTGTATTGGATTTGAACATGGTTCCTGACGAGGGTTTATGGGGGAGTTGATGTCGGAGTGATTCCTAGTCTAACTTGCAATGTTCGCTGAATAGGTTATGCTATTAATTTCAATTGAAAGATTCTTTTGCTCCTTCTTAGTTGCTTTCAGAATTTCTTAGTGGATGATGTACTTTAACTCTGAACTTCTGCTGGCTTTATTCTTTTCGTTAATTATGTTCTAGCTCCTAGCTTAAAATTACTTCCTGCTGTATTTTCAGAGAAGATCTTTACTCGCTTCTCGCAATTAATATTTCCTACCGCTGCAAAGACTCGCTTATTTCCTCCATCCCCTCACTCTCATGTCATGCTTGAACTCAAGGATCTGGTAGTGACTTGTTGTGTGCTTGTAGATGTCATGCAATACCGCCTTGCTATGATTCCTATGCTTAAAGTTGAGCTTTCGTAGCAGCTGCCTCCTCTTCTCCTCTCTCCTTTGCTGCTGGTGTCCATAATCTGGTTCGCAGAATATCAAGGTTGTTCTTCTTTAGGGTGGTGATTCGTTGATTCTTCTCCATCTATATGCAGCTTTTATCCTGCAACAGTTGCTATTTGACTGGAATTGATGTGATGTGCAACCTGGACTACATTTTTTCTGACACTAGGTACTCTTACACTCTAACTGGTCTGAACAACCATGCTTTATGGTTTTTGGGAACGATAATGATTTTGTTCTGTGGCTCAGTTTCTCTTAAAATGGTATCTTTTCCATTGGCTGCGTTTATCTTTGTCAGACGGCGTGTACTGTGTCCTTAACTCGAGCTAGAGGGAGATTTTCTCGATGCACTCTATACGTTCTTACACAACATGCTAACTTGCTCCTTAACTAACACTGCAAAACATTGTCTTGGATAGGAACCTTGGAGGACTTAAAAACGATCTACTCACTCTAGATCTGTCACTACTCGATAGACTATCACATTTAAGCCTACTGAGTTTCCGAAAAAAGCCGACAGTTATTAAGTTTCAGGCCAGTTAAATGCCAAGTTTAATTTTAGTATAAATGAAGTCATCTACCTTCCGAGGCATCTTTTCAAGAAGCTGCCTTGAGTTTTTTTACTTTTAAAGTCTCTGCTCTCGTAGGCTTGACCTATTAAGAATGATACTGATAGTAGTCGAATTACGAAAAAACACCATCGATCCACCCGAAATATCATTGCTTTTCTGATCTCTAAATATATCATACAAATTTTCATACAATCAATCACGATCTTTATCTTAAACCCCAATTTGCCATCACGACCATAACTATTTTTAAGCTTAATATTTATACATGTTTTACCCATTTTAATATGTTTTTTAACAATTATATAAAAAAATCATCAATTAAACCTCCAATAACAATACTAACACGTAAAATGACATATAAAGTTCACATAAACATGACATGCGAACTTTAACGAACCACGTGAGACGACTTGTTTAACTTGAGATAAAAAACATCGTTCCCCTTTTGCGCCATATTTTATTCCATCACATATACCTGATTGTTTTTTGCTAGCCTGAAAGCAATCTGAATTTCAACTCAGAAAAAAGAGGCATTACCACAGACAAAGAAATAAAAAGACAGAGACTTGTCATCTTAAGAACTTTACTCGACAGAAATAGTAGAAGAAAAGAATTACAACTGCGTAATGAAAATTGAAAACTTTGTTACAACTACAACCCCCCCAACCCCTACTACCAACCCATAAAAAAAGAGAACATTCCAAGAAAAACGATGATATTCAATCTTTGCTAAGAAATGCTGAGAATTGACAGAAAAAACAAAAAAAAACAAAAAAGACCTGTTGTGTTATCTAAGTGGGTACAACCACCCCAGAATTGGGCGATAATTGCAACACTAGGAACCAAAAAACCAAGATAAGCAAAATCAACTGAATGAAAAAACATGCAGTAACCTTACATACTTGGCTCTGCATCTTAAACACCTCTTTGGTCTCTAAAACATCTCCACAGTATTTTTCTAACTCCTCGGCTTGTTTCTTTAACAGTGCAGCCTTGCTTTCTGCTTTGCCTAGCTTATTCAGCATCTGCACTTGCTCACCAGCCAGAGCCTCTTGTTCCTCAAATAGGCTGATTTGATCACCTGCAGCAACTCTCATCTTCTGCAGACTCCTTGTTAGTGCCAGACACTCAATCTCAGCCTCCATCTTTTGCCTGAAAAGGCCCTCGAGCTCGTCCTCAATCTCTCTAGATTTCTCTTGCTGCAACTCTGTGTTACTCGCTGATTCTTCTTTTGGGGACTTGTCACCATTCAAGGAGGCTTCCAGTTCAGCAACCCTCGACTCCTTTGCCTTGAGCATAGCGTTTGCCTCCTCCAAGCTGCTTTCCAAGTTTTTCACATTCTGTGTTAAGCTTAATACTCGGAACTCCAACGAACTTGATTCTTTGATACTTTCAGATTCAAACTGGTCAGACACGTTCGATTTGTGGATTTCTGGATTACCTAAAAAGGAATCTTCCACTGCACTGCTAACTTTCCCGATCTCCCCCAATTTTTGAACCTCTGCAAGAGAAGGCATAAATCAGTTAATAATGCTATTATACCACCATTCTGTTTTATCTTGCAGAAGGTGGACACAAGGCCTTCATCCAAAACAAATTTATCTGATACAACAGACATGCCATCACTAACTTGAACAGAAGGGCAAGTGTTATATAGATGTCAACAGGTGAGGAAGAAGTAGACACCAGGAACAATTCAAAACAGAAAAGTGACCTGCATTAGGAGACTGGCCATAATTACCTACAACATGGATCGATTCAGTACACATAATGGGGCGAAAAAACCACGTTTCACAGACCGGAATACAGTATGAATGCCACTTCAAAATGATGACTGTAATTCAATCCCATAGCTATTTTCCAAGCACACTTACTATAAAAGGACTAATTAATTTCAAAGTACATATGGCAATTGAACTGCCCAGACAAAAAGTCCTTGACTGCATAAAGGTAGGTTAGAACAAAGCCCGAAGTGTGAGGTCAGTATTCACATCCTCGCCCGAATTATAATTGAATTCTAGATCACAAAGAAAAGACTGGCTAACCATATGTTCTCAGGCAAAGCAGTTATACCAAGTACGATACAAAATACAAATCTTTGAGTGTACAACAGGAATACACAGCAGCGGTAGAATTGGCCTTGGAATATAAATCCTTCTACCTTCAAATTGAAATAAGTCTACTAAAATAACACAAAAATCCTATTGATAGTATGGATGCTAATCTACTTCTCTTCCTTCTAGGAACCATGCTTCTCAATAATTTGACAATCACATTACTTAAAAATACTGATGGCTATTGATTAGTAAGTGTCCGTAAGGTGAAAAGGCAAAACAAATGCATAGGTACCTGCAAGAAGTATTTACAGGACTCTATCTCCAAAAAATTGTCAACCTCTAAAAACCAAACAACTATAGCCAAAAACAAATTATGAGGCATGATACAACTACAAATCAACAATAAAGTATATGATAGCACACAAATGGCCTATATAAAAACACATCATAAAAAAAGGTTTATCAAATCTGATAAAAGATAGTCAAACCAACCGTTTTCAAGAGCTTTCTGCACAGATTGGAGAGAAAGTACAGACGCGACCAATGGATCCTGATCTGCTGAGGGTCGGTGGTAATCCTTTTTGTCTCCCTTATCTGTGCAAGATGCATCTACAGCTAATTCATCTTCTGAAACATCTCCAACTTCTCCAACGTTCTCCTGCCCATAACCAGTGTGGACTTTCACACTAAATTGTTGTTCACCTGCATGGGCTTCATCACTGTTTTCTCTGTCATAATTCATTGACCTTCCACTTTGCTTTCGGTTACTGGTCACAGAACAATCACCCTGCATAAAGACAAAGTTGGAGCTTCTTGAGTCAGATTCCATGCTGGAATGAGAGTTTTCCTTCTCGATTTTGACCCTTTCTCCTCTAGGCTTCTTACTGTTTTCCACCCATCCCTTCCCTTGTTGAGCAGAACTACCCACACTCTTCCCACCCAAATTCTTCACCCTGTTCTTGTCCCGTGCATAGCCTGACACCGCAGACAGGTCATGCCTCACCCTTGGAGCACTAGCTGCTGTCGAGGACTTGCTACTCCGATCCTCGCTATTCTCAGAATCTGTTCCAGCAGCAAAAGCAGATGCAACAGCAAATCTAGATTCCAAACTAGACCCGCGGGTCACAAAAGCATCACCAAGAGCCACATTTCTAAATAAATTAGCCGAGCCAACAGAACCCTCGCTATTTTGCATGACCTCAACTGGCATTAAATTTGTAGGTTTAGCAGGATTCACAGCACCAGAGAATACTCGTTTCAAAACTTTACTATTATCTGCACTAGCACTAGCATCCTTAACAACATCTCTCCTAATTCGCCTCCATTTCTTCAAGCCAAATCCTTTAGTCACAGGAGGTGACCCTCCAGCAGGGGATTTGGTCATTAAAGACGGTGAATCCCTTGAATTCCCCACTTGCTCAATTCCCACACCTTCCTTAACTTCTCCATCAGGAGGCAATGTATTCGTATCACCATCACCATTAGTACCCATGTCATGAATTATCCCGTTTGAACACGGTCCATTGGCCTTAATCTTACTGTAGTCACCATCACCATCGCCATCACTATCTCCATGGTTTAAGGCGCCATCAGGTGTTGGGGTTGTGATGAAGGTGGTTAATTCATTATCTTCAACAGATTCAAGTGCAGAACTTTCACTCTCCAAATCCATAAATTAGAGGTTTAAAGGGTGATCTCTCAGATCAAGATCAAGATCAAGAACAAATAACTATCATTCCAGCAGTATCATGTCCAAAATCTGGAAAATGAATAAAATAAATAACCCTTTGCATCAAATTCAAATAACCCTTTTGATAGCATGATTCAATTTTGATATCCACGAACAGATTTAAATGAATTAATGAAATCCAAAAAAAGGGCATAATTCAAGTGATTGAGATATTATTGAAGGAATTAAGAAAAAAAAAAAAGAGTAAAAGATAAAAAGACGTACCTTTTTATATCCATAAAAATAAAAATGGAAGCTTTGAAATGAAGATTGAAGAAAGGCAAATGGAATGATGCGAAAATTCAAAAGCAAATAGAAACCCTAAACTGTGCTTGAATTTTCAATTTTATAGCCAGTGCGTCCTGCCGTGGTTGGCATGAAATTATAATTATTTGTTGACAATTACTATTTACTAATACTAGCAGTATTTTCTTAAAATAATAATAAAAAAAGAATGAACGTGGAGAGATGAAGATGGGGCCACATGGGAGAGGTAAGGATGACCCACTAACCAAAACCTGTTCAAGTGGGCATTGCTGGCCATTAGATCACCATCTCTGATTCTTTCTTACACTAACATTAAATAACAACCACATTGTGATCTCCTCTCCATCTCACCTGACACAAGTGTCTGCCACCTGCTAACATTGTACTACTACTGACTTCTACTTTTGCTCACTGCCTTTGCATTATCGTCCATCCTTCACCCTTCTTCCAACTTGGTTTTTATATGACTATCAATATTTATTTCATAAAAAAAATTTAAAAATAATTATTTTAAGATTTATCAAAATAATAAAAATATTTTCATCTAAGATGTATTAATTTTATCTCTTTTATCTCTCTTTTTGTGGCTGCATTTTTTTTTTTTTCCTTTAAAGGTTAAAAGCCCTTTGGGAGTTTTGATGAGTTAAAAGGCTATATATTGTACATGGGAATTTTATGACTTGTAGGTATGTTTAAAGAGATGTTATACTTTTTCGAGTTTAAATCTTGAAACAAATATTTTAAAAAATTATTTATTTTTAATCGGTATATTTAAGGATGGAAATGGACCCGATATAAAATGGGTATTTCCTTTATTTGGCTCAAAAAAATATTTATTAAAAATATTTAATAAGTATTGAAATGAGAAAATATAGAAAAATACATATCTTTTAATATAGTTTCAGGACATAAATAGTTATTCTTTACTCTATTAATATCCACTAATTTATTTAGATTTTTTAATTAAAATATATTGATCTAATTACATAAAATTTAAAAATTAAGAATCAAAATATTTTTTCAAAAACTTTGAGGACCAAAAAACCTTATAAATAAATGATCAAAATATAATATAAAATTAAATTTTAAGGATAAAAGGCTTTTTTAAAAAAATTATAGGTATTAAAATAAATATTTTTGATAAATTAAATTTAATAGGTATTTAGTGAGTATTATATTGACGAGTAAGTCATTATAGATCAAATATAAACTAATTAAAGATCTATATTATGATTTTTTAATGAAAAATAAATAGCATATTTTTTTATGATACGATAAAAAATTGAATTAATGAGCTACCTATCCGCCTATTATCATCCCTGTATATATTGTTGTAAATAATATATTTTTAAAATTATATGAGGATGGAATTTAATATCCATTATTAAAAAAATAAAATAAAAAATAGATCACAAAGAATCTAATTTGTAATGATTTGGGACAAAAAGAGGCAAGTAACAGAAGGGTGGGGTTACCAATGCATCACTTTTTTCCTTTCTAGTCCTTAACATAGGGTACAACATAGCTGGAGTATAAAAGTTGAATATTTTATTGTTGATTAATTGTCTGTTTTTCTTTGTAATTTCTTGCCTTGTTATTAGAATTAAATTTCTCTTATATATATATATATATATATATATATATATATATATATAAAAGAATGACTTGATTCACTTCAATTTGATTATTTAATAAGATGGTCATGAAACAATTCTCCCTAATTGGTTTCCTTTTAATCAAAATTTAAAATAATTATGATGCGAGTGAGACTGTTCGATATATAACTAGGTTTAAATATAAATTTTATCTTCTAATTTTTTTCATTATAGTTATGAAAATTGTACCTTCAAAATATTTTATTTTTATGGAACTAATTAAATCATGTCATAGAGATGTAATCAATAATAAGTATTTTATAATAGATTTGAAGATTAAGAAAAATTGGTTTAATGGTAGGTTTTAGGGGTGAATAAATAGTTAAACGGTTCGATTTTACACTAGTTCAGTTTGGTTTTCGATTAACTAAATTTGGAGAAACAATAACTGAAACCGAACCAAAATAATTTTCGCATTTGGGTGGAAAAACCAAAATATTCAGTTTTGGGTTTCAATTGATTCGGTTTAAACAGAAATTTTTTTTTTTAATTCTGATTGGGCTTTGGCCCGTTGGGCTTGTAAATTGTAATCACTAATCAGAGGCCTTTCATTTTGTGGCCTCAAAATCACTGTCTAATTAATAAAGCACACAAAGTCCAGTAGTCCACTTGCTATTTTTATTGGACTGGCACCTCATTGCTTTTGGACGGATTTTCCGCACAGACACGAGCAAACTGTTGCGAGAGAAACTTTAACAAGTTCGCTAATCCCATTCGCAATTGCTGTCATAACATCAAGTGACTGAAATTTCTGGGATCCGAATCCAAGCAAGCATTTTGTCTGAAATTGCAGAGGTTTTAAAATCAAGAGACCATTGCATTACACTCAAGTGTCCCTGAATCATCCAAGGACCATCCAATGAAAAAATAGGATTTGCCACACACACATTTCATTCTGGTATAGTTCTATTTTTTTTTATCGATATTCTTTATAATTTTTCAACTTGTTAAATTTAATAGAATTCCAAATCTCACATTGCATTAACAAATAGGTTTTGATTAATGAAGCAACTCTCACATTCAATTTTGCAACATCTAAGAGTTAAATTTAATAGAATTCCAAATCTCAATTCATTTCTAAATGATTTATACACTTTCTCATTGTCCAGACAGAATCATAAAATTGAAGAGTAATCATAATTCTACTTTCATATTTCATTCCTTCTGTTTTGGAAGAAAAAAATAAAAAAGAAGCCAAAACTCAAAACTGCTACTGTATAGATCGAAAGGTGGAAAATGCTTAGGATCCAATTCTGGGCAAATTGAGTTTCTTTCTTTCTGATTTCTCTCTACTTTCATCTGAGGGCGGGAAGGGTAAGAAGAAGAGGTCTAAACTAAGGCTGAAGAAATTGACCTTGTGGAGGCACAAAAGAAACCTACTTTGGATGATGTTGAACCTGTTATGCCAATTGGGCCAATGACTTTGCCTAGAACTGAATTGGGGCGTATTATTTATGGTGGAGCTTTGAGACCTGGCGAAGGTGATGCTACTGCTTTGTATGCGATTGAGAAACTTCAGAGTCTTGGGTATGTGATGAGTGCTAGTAGGAATGTGAGGATGGATGCCATTCGTGTTAGGAAAGAAAACCAGGTTTTTTCCAGTGCTGAGGATAAGTGGGCACTAACCATGTTTAACGATGACGAGAAGGTGAAACTTCAGATGTTTCGAGAGGCTAGTTCTTTGACATCTTACATGCGAAATCCAACCACACCCCAACTGTTTGGTCAATTGGATTTCTGCTTTTGCTCATGGTACTTCTTGCACTCTTTTTACTTCTTTATACTTCTGATCATGGGCTCCATTAATCTGGAACACGATTTTGTTGATTACCTGCTCGAATTTGGTATTAAGTTAGGGGTTCTGTTCGTCTCGTTATTGGTGATTGTGCAATGGAAGATTGAAATAACTCAAAGCTATAAATTTGCTGTCTGTCACCTGATAGCAGAGTAGCATGCATAATTTAATGTTGCTCTTTCCGTACAGAAGAGAAAACTATCGGGGATAAAAACATTTAGGAAGGGAAAACAGATAGCTCAGGATGGTAATTAATTCCTATGGCTAACATGATACTAATTTCCTGCAACGTTACTTTATTTGTTAAATTGAAGCAGAAAATTCATAGATATTGAATTTCACCATACTTCTGTAGCTAGTATCTGTTTTTTTGGTGCATTTAGAACTGCAATATCAGATATTTTAGCTAAAGAAGGGGTTCTTGAAGATAATCTAGCCTAAAAGTTGGTTTTAAAGACGAGAACTGATAGCTAAAGAGATGTTTGAGTCTTGTTCTTCCTAGGTTAAAGCTTTTAGACTTATTTGGGTGCAGAGGGTGAAATGTCTGTACTGTGTGGTTCTGGATGGCACTCAAATGCCTCAGAATAGAATTTCAATTGTAGATTTTTCTGCTTATTACCATTACCATATATCTGAAATCACTGCCTCCTGTTCCATCTGCCAGTATCCTTCAGATGGTTGGATGCCATTCTCACTGTTATGGAATTTCATTTTTTTTCAACTACCTTTTGCTTTGTTCTAGGTCTTCTCTGGCATTTCAGACATGTTGGGCATTGTTCTCGCTGTTTGAGAACAAAATATTACAACCTAGTCAAATGCATATAAATTAAATATATCTTTCTAATATATATCCTTTTTGCAGTAGCCATTCTCACAGTAAAAGGATTGTGCCATTTTGCTTTCCAACAAGAGAAATGCTTATGATTAGTTAACCAAAAAGGTGGCACTGAATCGATGAAGGTCTAAATCACTCAGGACTCTTCAATAGCAGTCCTATCTGTTTGCTCTTTTAAACTCTTGCCTGCTTCGAAACATGTAGGATATTTTGTTTCTGCTTCCTAGCTATTTGGTATATGCAACTTCTTGAATATGCAGTTCTCCAGGAATGTACAAGAGATGTGGAGATCTAGGGATGATGATAGCATATGCTAAAAGGAACCGCATTAGTATTCAAAGGGTGAACATCAACATTTGTAATTTTAAGTGTGGGAATGAGGTGTTTTTTTTTTTCATGGAAGGTTGGTTTTTAACGATGCAAAAGTTGCTAAAACATGGTTTGCTTTGTTGGTCTTGAAGTTTATGATATCTCCACAATCTCACTCTTCCCATTCAGAAAATTCTGCCAAGGGTTTGTCATGGCTCTCTCTCTTCCCAATCCTTTTCTTCCTCTGCTTTATTTTCATTATTATGGGTTGGGCCAAGACTCTAAACTATAGCATATGATTGAGCCCCAGGTTCCCAAATTCAATAAAGATTGCCACTCATTGTTTTCCTATCAGGTCTAAGAATGCATTGAAAAGTTTCTGATGTGTATATGGCTATGACAAGTGATTGCTGACCTCATTTCCCCTGAATGCCCCAACGTTTTTCTCAAGAAGCATCACACTATCGCAGCATATGTTTTGAAATGTTCCTCCAATTTTGCCGTCAAAAAGGAAATGTCCATACCCCAAATTCTCAAAACATTGTTGTTCGTCAATCTTTATTTTATTATTATTATTTTTTGAAAAAGAAAGAACACTACGTAAGTGTTCTATCCATTACAAAAATTAAAGTACTCCTAAATACTGGACTTGTTGATCAATTATTAGTGTTAGTGGTGGTGCATGGAATGATGGAATTGATAGGGAGAGGGAGAGTTAATCCTTGAGAAATATAGTCCACAGATTTATACACGCATATGCTCGTTATCAAGATAAACAAGAAAAACCACTAAACTGCATCAATACTTTGTTACTAATAATTAAATCATTCTTTTGGATGCTAACGTACGAGCAATATCCAAGGCAAAGGGCCAGGTGGATCATGATTTTTTGATGGCAAAAACTGAGGTTAAGCAAGTTGTACCCCACGAATTCATTCATTATTTATTATTATTCTTCCTATCCCAAACCAATTATGTATGTATATATATTTTGATGACATGATTGACAAATCAAAAGCTAGGGCACACAGGAAGAAAAGTAGTAATGAATACAGCCTCCCTCGATTTTTTCTACGGTGTAAAAATGTTGGAATTAACTAAGATTCAATCAAACATGCATGGATTAGTCCATGGACGGTGGTGGGGATGGATACATACAAGAGAACAGTGCGTTTTCCTTACCAATGATGTTTCCTCAACATGGGGCTTCCACATTTATGATTTTTATACATATATAAATATCATGTGTGACTTGAATTTATAGGTAATCTATTAGGTTTTTTAATGGATATAAGCTTATATCTCTATTTAGCAAATAGATTGAAAAATAAGAACTTTGTATTGAACTTTCACGGTTTTTGTATTCTCCTCGCTATTAAGTTAGTAAAAACTTTTATTTCGTTTGTATAATTGTTAATTTATCGAATCGAGTAAATTTCGTATGTTGGTAATTTGTTTAGTTTTATTATTTGATTGTTGTCTGTCTTTATTAATTTATTTTCCCTATTTGTAATAACAAAAATATAATGTCGTATGCATATGTATATGTTAAAGCAAACACAGAAATAAAATGAAAGAAGAAATGGATGCTGATATATAATGTCACCTTTTCCTACATGCAAGTTGGCAGAGGACCTCGATTTCTTTAAAATGAAAAGAAACAATAATAATGTAAGTTGTAACTAGGTTAGAAGGCTGGTTGACACATATTGGTATGATTGGAGCAGCCACCTTTTGCTGGTTCAAGACTAATTAATTAAGTTCAAAAACAGTAGCTACACATATCTGTTTGAGAGGCTAAAGCAAGCCAGTGGATTCATCACAGATTTTGTAAAGTAGTGAGCAATATATAATTTGCCCAAAAAGAAAGCTTTTAAGAAAAAGAAACATGGAGGAAGATACATGTACATGTACAGCAAAGAAAGAGATGATGCTTTAGGTTCAGGATTGGACCAAGGGATGATAGTTTGATCCTTGATAGTTGATACACATAATCTGAGTCAGCGCAGCCTTCCAGCTTGGCCCAATCAAGTCACACAAATGGTGGTGGCACATGGGAGTGATTGATTGATTTGATTCCAATAACCTGTTAGGCTAGCTATCTTTGTATTTGAATATTAGTTAAGCCATATCCATAATCCAAGTTGGTGAAAACCCTAAAAACAAAGATTTTTTTCTGGGTTGCAGTAAAATTCAACTTCAAACAAGGCAATGGATAAGAGATAAAGAGTTTGAGAATTGCCATGAAACATGATTAGTTTGTAACCAACTCTACCAATCTCCAACTTATGGTACCGACAACTTTCTACTTCTCTTACGTTGATGCTGAATCTAGTACAAAGTGACCACTTGCCCTATAGAGGTACCAAGCAGGATTAAAACCTTGCTGTATATGTGTATAGGATTTAGGCTGAAGTTGGACTGGTCTTGGCTCCAATTTCCGGTGCACAGTAGTTTCAAATTTGTGTCAGATAAGTACATATGGATACAGAGAAAGCATAGATTAAATTATTCGGGTCGGTCCCAACTTGAAAAACCACCCCACTGTGAACGAAGGCCTGAGTTGTGGTTGCCCTCCCAATGTCCTGTCTCTGAGTACTTTCTGACCAATATTTTTGGCTTCTGTGACAGGTTAGAGCCCCATGTTTTCTATTATGATTTATGAGTTGAGAGACTATAGTGTACAACACATAAAACAAAAAGAAATAGGGTAAGCCCTATGCAAATTATTAAATAATGGAGTACTATCCGATGTTGCACCATTAAGCCTCTCTCCGAGCTTCTTTTTAAGCACTTGTTTAATATTTTAATGTTCAAAAACCTCACAGATCCAGCCCACACGTTAGATTCCCTCTTCTTCTATGCAGCTTGTTGTGTGTGTGAAAGAGGGAGAGGAGTTTTGAAGAGTTGCAGCCTTTTCTTCTGTATCTCAAGTATAACTAAAGGTAAGGTGATTGGCTAATTTCAGTAAGTTTCTTTTAACTGTTTTTCTTCTACTTTAGGTTGGTTTCTAATTGCCCGAACAACCTTTCTCTTTGGTTTTTCTCTTACTTCTTTTCATCGCTGAAACAATTTCAAGCTTGTTTCTGACAGCTGCTTTTATGTTTTAGGAGTCTGATATATGAACTGATCACTATTGTTTCAGGGCAAAGCTTGAACGCTTCCCGTCTCCAACTCATAGTACATGTTAAAAGTTAAAAAGACTGTTTTGGTCAATATTACTCCGAGACGCAGAAGAAAATTGGTGAAGAGTCTGACCGACAGAGGCCCACAATGAGAGGAGATATGGATGCAGACCACATGCAAATTTTCTGTGCGAGCATTACTGTTGCATTCATCTTCTGGCAATGGTTTTTGGTCAGAACCAATCACTTTAATCTCTGTCAGCTTAAATGGGAGTAAAGAATCGAATCCAACGGAGAAAGAAAGAGTTCGGCTTCTTGGCTATTACATATTTAGCCAAAAATGGTTCTTGTAAGGACATGTGATGCAAATAATGAAGGGCCTTTATCACCTCCCAGTCTGTGACGTTATTCAAAGTACAACTACAGAGAGGTACTAAAGCAGTGAAGAATATTGCTTTCTAAGAAAAAGTTGCATTCATGGCCATGGATGAAGAAGGATCCCTTGCTGGCAAACTTCCTCTAGAACCTCCGAGTGGCCTCACCATCAAGATTTCTACCTCTGGCAGCAAAACTGGTAAAAACATCTTAACTCCCCTTGGTTATTCAAATTCAGATTCAGCTTCTCCAAACTTAAAGAACTCAATTGAATCATCAACATGTAACTCTCCACTAGTTTCACCACCGTCATCAGCATTTGTTTCAGCCTTACAATCACCATACATATCACCAAGGGCTATAACCCCAAAACCCCAAGAGAACCCAGCCACCCCACCGGAGAACCCAATACCAGGCTCCCACTCCACACCACCATTCTCATCATACCGTGGCTCACTATCAGATGACATACCAAGCAGCTCTTACACGCCCCCATCGGACCAATATGAATATTCTGATGACCTTACAGAGGCCAAGCTCAAGTATGTTACTTGTGTACCTGTCCCAGATCCTGCTCCTCCTAGAATCTCATTCTCTTTTCCAGTCCCACGCATTTCCTTCAAAGGGCCTGTTTCTCCAGCTTCCAATGCCAAACTCAGGAGCTGTGATGTTTACATTGGCTACCATGGTCAGAATCCTAATCTTATGCGCTTCTGTAAGTGGCTTAAATCAGAGCTAGAGCTTCAGGGAATTGTCTGCTTCGTAGCGGATAGAGCCAAGTACTCGAATACTCAGAGCCATGAGATCGCGGACAGAGTTATCTGTTCTGTGACTTATGGAATCGTGGTCGTGACTAACTCAAGCATCCTCAACCATCTCAGCTTGGAGGAGATTAGATTCTTTGCTCAAAAGAAGAACCTGATTCCAATTTTCTTCAGCTCCGGCCCCGCTGAGATCACAGGTCTTCTCAACGGCAATTCAATTGATAAAGAGTGTAGAGAAGCGATTGACGGACTAGTGAAGTCTAATGAATTGAAGCTGGAGGTCAATGAGGGTAATTGGAGGAGCTGTGTAGCTAAAGCCACTGGGATATTAAGAACAAAGCTCGGGCGAAAGAGCGTGGCCGAGAAAGCTGCAGAAGGATTTGAGGAGATTCCATTTCCAAGGAACAAATGTTTTGTAGGAAGAGAGAAGGAGATTATGGAGATTGAAACCGCATTATTTGGATGCACTGATGGTTGTGAACAGGATTACGCTATGCCGATCGTTAAAGGAGAAACCAGGGGGCAATCTGAGGGCCTTGCAGATGAAGAAAGTGAGACTTTTAGCAGCCGAGGAGGGAGATTCATTAATTTGGAATTGGGAGGGAAGTGCAAAGAACCAACACTGGAGGCTTGGGTGGAACCAGTTACGGGAAGGAATTCAATGAAGAGATCAAAGTACAAGAAATCGAAAAGCGGGAATTACAAGACCCTGGATAGCAGTGTGTTTTGCATAAACGGTGTTTCAGGCATTGGAAAGACAGAACTTGCACTTGAATTTGCTCATAGATATTCTCAGAGGTATAAAATGGTCTTGTGGGTTGGAGGGGAAGCTAGATATTTCAGGCAGAACATACTGAATCTATCACACAATTTGGGGTTGGATGTGAGTGCCGATGCCGAGAAGGAAAGAGGGAGAATCCGAAGCTTTAAAGAGCAAGAAAATGAAGCATTCGAGAGGGTCAAAAGGGAATTGTTTCGAGACATGCCATATCTGCTCATCATTGACAACCTTGATACAGAAAGAGAATGGTGGGAAGGGAAGGATCTGCATGATTTGATTCCAAGGAACACTGGAGGGACTCATGTGATCATCACAACGAGACTATCCAGGGCGATGAACTTTGACATAATGCAGCTGCCGCCATTGGAATTGCCTGATGCAATGGTTTTAATGACAGGAAAAAGGAAAAGAGATTATCCAACCGAGGAGCTTGAATTTCTTCATAAATTTGATGAGAAATTGGGAAGGTTGAGCTTTGGCTTGTGGTTGGTTGGATCACTGCTTTCTGAGCTTGCGATTTCTCCATCCGCACTTTTTGAAGCTGTGAACCAAGTTCCTCTTGAAGATGGTTCTACTTACTCCTATATGAGCATGAGTGACGAGCAGTACTGCAAGAACAACCATTTCCTAATGAAACTACTTCATTTCAGTTTCATCGTCTTACAACAAACCAATGGGAGAAAGAACCTTCTTGCCTCAAGAATGCTTCTTGTCGGTGCTTGGTTTGCCCCAGCTCCTATTTCAGCAACTTTGCTGGCTGCTGCTGCTAAGAATATGCCTGCCATTGGAAACGGATTCAGAAAATGGACCGAATGCGTGAGCCTCGCATTTTCTTGCTGCTCTGGTTGCGGATTAGCACCCCAAAGCGAAGAAGATTCAGCCACTCTTCTTGTTAAACTAGGCTTAGCGCGAAGAGCCAACAGACAGCCAGGTTGTTGGATTCAATTCCATCCAATAACTCAAGTTTTTGCAAGAAGAAAAGAAGGTTTATCAGCAGCCAAGGCTACAGTCCAGGGAGTAAGGAAAGTTGGCAATCCATCGATGAACTCACATCATCTATGGGCCTCTGCATTCCTTGTCTTCGGATTCAAATCCAAGCCTCCGCTTGTTCAACTGAAGGCTATTGATATGGTTTTGTACATAAAGAAGACAGCTGTGCCACTCGCAATTAGAGCCTTCACAACCTTCTCAATGTGTAATTCAGCACTGGAACTTCTGAAGGTGTGTACTAATGTGCTTGAAGAAGTGGAGAAGTCATTTGTATCGCAAATACAGGACTGGTGCCATGGTTCGCTTTGTTGGAAAAGGAACATACATGGTCATCAAAGGGTAGATGAATATTTGTGGCAAGATGTGACATTGTTGAAGGCTAGCCTACTTGAGACTAGAGCAAAGTTGCTGCTTAGAGGTGGCCATTTTGATGGCGGTGAAGAGTTGTGCAGGACTTGCATAAGCATCCGGACAGTGATGCTCGGCCACAATCACGCTCAAACACTGGCCGCCCAAGAAACACTAGCAAAGTTAGTAAGAATGAGAAGCAAAGGATGATCCTAGTCATTTCTATCTATGAAAGAATGGATCACCATGCCATGGAAGCTCAGTTTTGTTCGCTTTGTAATCATGTTTTTAGCTAGAAACATAACCATTAAGTTGCTCATAATGTAGTTGTCTCCACTGCAAATTACGACATTTACTTAAAAGTTGATGAATCTCAATTTGGTCACTTTCTGTATATTTTGCATGACAAGATGTTCAATTAAGAATTTATTTATTATTATTATTTTTTGGAAGTGTGGATTAGATATTAGAAATCGAAACAAGAACACATCTTGGATGTAACCCATGAAAGCAAAGGGATTGAAAAAGACAGGTGAAGAACAACAAAGAAAAGCGGTAGTTGAGAATAGTTGAGTTGTTTTGTCTGAATCTGAATTATCAAAGTTTTAAAGGTACCCTATGCAGTAGATAGGAGGTGTCTGGTCTACACCCTACAATGACAGCTCTTGTAGATAATTTGATGCCAAAAACCAATGTTAGTACACAGATTAGGAAATTAAGGCACTAAATTTGCTTCTTGAGACCATAGGTAATTGCAACTTCCTATTGTTTTAATGGATTTAGTGACTTAATGGATTAAGGAAACGAAAATCAGCTTAAAAACAGTGAATCCCTATATTTCTTCCACAGCAGAGTTGCTGTGCTGCCACTTCTGACAGATGCCTAAAGGAATATACATTATAGGAACATTTTTCATAAATCAAATCTATAGAACTTTTCTCTCTCTCTCTCTCTCTTTTTGGCAGGATGAAATCTATGGAACAATTATTCTTATGAAGTGCATAAAATATGGTGACCTGATCACACATTTCCTTGTAGATGAAGGTTGAAACCCTGGAAATAAAGACAACTCCCATCTCCTGTTAAAAGGCTCAAGGCTGCTGATAATAGAACTCCACAGTTTTTAGACTCTTGCACTGATAAAATCACAACGATGAAGTTCCATAGATTTAATACATGGAACTTGATCACAGAAATCATAGTGGATAGAGCTTGAAACCCTGGAAATAAAGATGACACAATGATGCAGATAATAAAAATCCAAAGAAGCAGGATGCAGCACAAACACAAGAAAGGATACAATCTAGTAAATAAAGCATACAAAGAAGACCCTAAAAATCAAGAAAATATTTTGGCGGGCACACACAAATAAGTTAACAAGAATTGCCTCACATAAAATAAGAGACAGACGTATATCAGTCATGAATCCTGGGAAAAAGGTTGCTGATAGAAATAGATTGGAAATGATACAGCACAAAGGCTAGAAATAAGTAAAAGATTGTGGTGGATGTTTCAAGCATCGATAGGAAATGATGCAGCACAAACACTAGAAACAAGTGCAAGATTGCAATGGATGTTTCAAGCAGCAACACCACCACTGTTTCAAGCTTCTGGGTTGAAATGGTTTTTTTAGCAAAGATCAACATGCCGCCTACATTTTCCCAAAGATCTTCATCTTTTGCGAACCTGCAGAAGGTATGTTTCTTGATAGAGTCCTCAAAAAACTCCCAGTCTCTGTGAGCATTCAGCCTCTGCCAGGGGGTCATATTAATTCTTGTCATCTGACCAATCACTTGGCAACCAAAGAGGTCTCGACTCTTTGTAATCATCAAGCCTACAGTACCTCCTCATCCTTCCTCGTCGTGCTCATCTCGTTTTTCAACCTCATTCTCACTTTCCCCGCACAAAACCATGCTTTCAACTTTTCCGGCTTCTTCCTTTCCCTCTCTTTCCGTTCTCTTTTCCGAACCCATTTTCTAATCTACCTGCCTGTGACTTGAACCGTTACACACAAAGGGATCAACATCAGGATTTCACCATTTCCCTTTTTGTTATTTATTTATTGAAGTCCTTAGCCTAGACTTTTTATTAACTTCCACAACTACTAGTAATAAAAACGAACATTTTCTTTTGTAAGTTCATTTTTCATTATATTCCTTTGATTAAGCTGGTTGGTCACGTAATTGCCAGCTTTGAGTAAACCAAAGAAAGAGCCTTAGAAACCGCCATCGTATTCCTATGACGAAATGAATGACTGCCTTGATTCTGAGTATTGCCAGAAGAGACTGCAGAAATTTTCAGAAATTCAAGAGTTATTTTGCGAACATGGCTGAACTTGGACCTGCCCAATTGGCATGCCTACATACATCATCATCTTTGTTGACCACCATTAAATGATCTTGCCCATCAGCCTGAGTAGACTGTAGAGGATTCAAACCTCAAAGCATATGGATTAGAAGAATCCGTTTCTCCACAGGCCAAAAACCTCACTCTAGTATGTGAGAGCCAGCTTTTCAGATCCTGAAGTTGGGCAGCTGTTAACTGGAACCAATTCAGGCCTCAAACCCAAATTAGTTGGTCTTGGTTTTGGCTCCAACAGCAAGAACTGCCATTGTCACCATTTCCTTGCTCAAATGCGTTCCCTTCTCCTTCCATTATCCTCCCTGACTTCTAATACTAGTGATGGATCATTAAACTGAGATAAAATCCTAATGTCAGCGTCATTTGCATCATTATAAGCTGGACCTACTTTCACCGGCATCCTCGGGTTGAATTGGTGGCACCCTTTGCTTTTTCCCTTCATTGAAAGCATTATTCTTCTCAATCTCCTGAGCAAGCAAGGCTTGTACCTTTCTTCAATCAAGCTCTTCTAACATGAAGCGGGGAGCGGCAGCACAACTATTTACCACCAACTTTGTCTTCCTTGGCTTAATTCTATATCTTGTTACCTAGAATCAGCTGTCCACTAGAACATTGCATTCGATTCCCAATCCACCCAATAACTTGAGTTTTGCAAGAAGAAAGAAAACAAGTAACCCTTCGATCCAGTCATGTCACGAGTGCTCCTCAGCATTCTGTCTTCAGATTCAAATACGAACCCAACTTTCCATAGGCAACTTAATGTAATTTTGTACATGGAGAATAAAGGACAGGTGCAACGGTTCACTTTTTTGGAAAAAGGCAATTACAGGGCGACATCATACTTGGCAAGACCTGACATTGTCAAAGGGTAGTTTACTTGAGACTAGGGCAAAGTTGCTGCTTAGGCCTTAGAGGTGAGCTTTCGATAGTAGTGAAGAGTTATGCAGGGCATTTATAAGCATCTGGACAGTAATGCTGAGCCACAATCATGCTCAAACATTGGCTTCCGAGAAACACTAAGCTAGCAAAGTTAGTTAGAATAAGAAACTAAAGCATGATACCAGTAATCTCTAATCACCGAAAGAACCAATCATTGTAATAATCTTTGTTAAGTTAGAATTATAACCATGAAGATGCTCATAATTAATTTATGGTTTTCTCAACATTTACTTCAAGTTGTCGAACATTTACTCTCCATTTGGTTACTGTTTGCATACCTAACCAAAGGGATTGAAAAGGACAGGTGAAAAACAACAAAGAAAAGTGGTAGTAGTTGAGAATAGTTAAGTTTTTTGTCTGAATCTGAAAGATCAAAGTTTCAATGGTCCCCATGTCGATAGAAGGTGTCTGGTCTACTGTATACACTCTACAATGACAGTTCCATAACCTCCTCTGTCATCATCCATATATTACTCTCTCCCCACCCAAATTGTAGGTAATTTGATAAATATACAGATCAAGGAGTTAAGGTAAAGTAAAACACAAATGTGAACGAAGTTAAAAAACGAAGAAAGAAATAACAGTTTGTTGAGTTGGATCCGAAACAACTAAGACATTGAAAACAATAGAAAATTCCTCTTGTCCATGTCCAGAAGCACACAGACAATATATATATATATATATATATATATATATATATATATCACCACTTACAGGACAAAAACGACAGTAATTGTTGAAATTCACAGCAGGCTACATTGTTGACTTTAAGTCATAGTTTCTTCCAACAATCTCATATTGTCTTAAAAACAGAAAAGAGACAAAACTTTCAAACTTCCAAAGAAACCAAAAGAAAACCAAATCACACAGAACTCTACACAAGAGTTACGATAATGTAAAAAAATCAACCAATCAATGAAACTATATAAACTGTAAAGTCAGTCCCTTTCAAGTGCTCCAGTTCTACTTGATAAATTGACCACCACCATCACTAGATACTGATACAGCTCCATATGACCCGGAAACATGACCCGAGCCGATCAAAGCTGCTTCCTCACCAGGAACCAACAACCCATCTGAATTCCTCAAAACAGCATGAACCCCACATACCAAAAACCCAATCAGAACACCCCAAACCAAATTCCAAGCTGACCCACTTAACCAAACACCCAAAACAGAGACCAAAACCAACCCAATCAAAACCAGCCGATCATTCAAATCATAGCCCCATAACACCAATGGGTCTTCTCTAAAGAAGTAGAGGAGCAGCCAGAGAGACAGCACCAAAGCAAACATTAAGAGGGAAATTGGAGACCCAATTAGAGATAAAGCTCCGCAAGCAGAGATGATTATTGAATAATTGCATATGAAATGGTGGAAGTTGGCGCGGAGTCGGATCAAGGCAGTGGAGAATGAGTCGGGTCGTGTGAAGGATCCGGAAGTGAAGAGCTCGGGCCAGGGGCGGAGGAGGGAGAAGGACGAGGTGAAGTTTTGGAGGGATCGCGAAATGACATCTCCGGCGGAGATGGGGATGGTTGTGTAGGTGGTGGTGGAGGGTGGTGGTTGTGTCATGTTTTTCGGTTGACCCAACTACCCTTCCAATCCAAATTCTGTTATTTGGTCGGATTGGATTGGTAGGTGAAAAACGGTTGACATTATGTCTCGCCTCAATTTACGGTTCCTACCTAGGAGAGGGTAAATTAAACGATTCGTCCCTGTACAATGTCAATCTGATCAATTGAGTCCCTATATCATCAATTTGATCCATTGAGTCCTAGGAAACACATTCAGGAATATAAGATACTGATAAGACATGCTATTGATAATTATTTTATATATTATATAAAAAATTTATTTTAATAATAAATAAAAATCAGCAGTAAAAAATAAAATAAGTAATTATATGTAAAACTATATGAAAGTATAAAATAATAAAAAAAACAAGCATTGTTTTATTTATATTTTCTTACAATTATAAATAAATTTTGATGTTTAAAAATTAAATTATCTTGAAATTGAATATAATAATTATGAAAGGATCAATCATGGTTTTAATTTTCTATTTCAAATTTAATTACTACTACTTGTCTTTCTTTTATTTTGTTATTTATGAAAAAAAATTAATCTAAAAATAATGATGTCATGTCTTGTTATAAAATTCATTAAAAAAAATATGATGCTTACATTTTTACTTATTCAAATAAATCTACAATATAATATGATCATAATATTGTATCGATTCTCATTATTATAAAAATTTATAAATTAAAAATAATTAATTAAAAATATTGAAGTAAGACTATATTTAATTAAATATGTGATTTTCTTTTAACTCTTAAAAATTAAAACTATAGTTAAATGTAAATAAGAAGTTGGTGTGGTAAATAAAGGTATTTAACTGAAAAAAAAACATTATTATTTCCTTTACGGTCAAAGGCGAATAAAAATTAAAAATAAAATCATAGTATAGTATTATTTATTATCTTATTGAGGCGCATAACATAAGTTAAAATGTACATCTCATGTGTTTGACCTTTTCATAAAATGTATTTTATGAATAGCATCAAGAAAAAACCAAGACTGCTGCCATGTTTTTGTTTTAGACATAGAAATAATATTTTCATCTATTCTATTATATTTTTTAATAATAAAAAAAAAAAAACATGCAAACTCCAATCACAAACTATATAGTGCATGCAAATGCATCAAATTTGAGATAATTCCAACCTAATGATCCAAATAAACATAAAATATTAAATAGAGCCGGAAAACCAATGTTGGTCGTTGGTGTGGGCCCGGGCAGCACAAGCAATAGTACGGTGTCGTGTCCTTAGTGTAGATAATAATTAAACTATGGGTAAATTTTAATATACTCACGCAAGTTTATATATTTTCTCAATTTAATTTAATATTTTTAACTTATTTCAATTTGATCTTACATTTTTCATTTTTATTCCAATCAGCCCTCATATTTCCCCCACATCGACCTTTTTTTTTCCAATCAACTTCTGCATCTTTTATTCTTGTATTGAAACAAAAATAATTAACATAAAAACACATTTGTAACTTAAATTATATTCTTATATTATAAAAAAAGTGACAAATACGATTGATGAAAATTTTATCATATGTTTGATTGAAAACATTTTTTTTAGTGATTTGTTTAATTTATTTTTTTATTTTTAGTTATATATTTCAAATCGTTCATTTGAAAAAATGAAAACTCTTTTTATTGAATGATCATGATACTTTCCAAAAATTGAAATTTTTGACCAATGGAGTAACAATATCACTATTTTTGTTCAATAAGATATCAAAGTGGATTATTGACTCATTTCATACTAGAAATAATCACAAGAAATCTTTTGATAACACAGATTCCTATTTCTCAATGATATCCAACGATCAAGACAATTAGTTGAATCCCGTGAAATCATTTCATAGAAGTTCATTGATATCTTTTTTTTTATAAAGCAAATTAACTTCGATTTATATTCCTTAAATTTTGGAAACAAAATTTAAATTTATACGAAATGAAATAAAATAATATGAAATCTAATTGAAACGAATTAAAGTTTTTAGATGAAATTAGATAAAAATTAAAATTTACCCTAATCATAATATTATCAGTATAGGAACAGAAGTTTTTAAAACCAACAAGGATCAGTCAACGATATCATAATCTAAGATAGATTCTGTCTGGTCTCTCTCTCTCTCTCTCTCTCTATTGACTCATCTGTTCAAAAGTTTTTGAAACGGCAGAGGGCAGAGGAGGCAGAACGCATAAAGAAAGAGATGAAGAGAAAGACAAAGGATGGCCCACCTTTTCCTGCTTTTCTTTCTCTCTTCTTCTCTTTCTAAACCTCTGTTTTGCTAACTCACCACCATGCAATCAAAGCTTATAATAAAACCCACATTAATTAATATAATTAAGATTAACAGGAGCATCAGTGGAGGGGAGTGCATGGAGCTAGCATTTTAAGCAGCAAGCAGCAAGCAGCAAGCAGCAGCTAGTGCTTGTGATCACATCACCACCATCCCTAGCTACCCTAAAAAGCTAGCTAGCTACTAGCTAGTAGAAACTAAAGGAGCATGACTATGAGCATGTCTCTCGATCTCTCCTCTCCTTCCTCTCCAGTCCATGGTGCAAATTAACCCAAAAAGGGCCAGGCCATCATGTTTTGTTCTTTAGTGCTTCTTTTTCTAATGACTACATATACCCTCGCTCTCTCTCTCTCTCTCTCTCCTCCTCTCCTCTCATGACTCATCACCCATCATGCATCAATATCTTCGCACTCTTTTTCATTCGCTGTCTACAGTATACGCTCATTTCTCATTTACTATGCCATAACGGCTATATATTTCATTTCATGGCCTGCCTGACCAAAACTTCTCCCTCTCTGTGTATATATATATATATATATGTATGATGAACAATTAAAGATAAATGTTGTATACTCTACTTTTTTTTTTTTTATCTTGAACTTTGAATATACTGTAAGTACCTAAGGCAAAGAGAAACAAATGAAAAAGAAAGGAATGACCCAAAATCACATTTTCTGAAGGGTCCTACAATCTTTATGCAATGCAATTTTGTGGCCTTACGTGCTCCCCTCCCCCCATATATATATATTCTTTCTTCTAATCAGCTACTACATCAAATAAAACCAGCATCAAACAATGAAGTGAAGGAAGGTTGGTGCTGTTTAATGCGGCTTGATAAATCATGGGATGGCTGATTCATTTCATATCCCTTGCATGCCATCTCTTTCTTTCTTTCTTTCTTTCCACCAGCTGTGTGAATATTATGATCATATGTGTCGATGTACAGATGCATGGTTTATGTAAGCACAACGCAGCGCTTGATAGCAGAAGAAAGGGGTCCGCATCTAACAGGATTAATCATTTTCATTATTTCTGTACTGTCTAGCTAGCTAGGCAAGGTAAGGCATATGGCAACTTAGAGTCATATCAAGGTTTCCAAATGCATGCACTTGTCAAGGGTTGTTAGAATTTGCCTTGTCATGAAAAGGACTTCAAAGGATAATTGTCACAAGTATATCCATCACATTATTAATATTATAGGCTCATATTTACATGTGCCTGGAATCCAAGATAACGCAAATGCAGTCATATGCCTTATATATACAGTTGTGTGCAGCAATTTCATCCAGAAAAAAAAAAAAAGAAAATGAAAAGAGAGATAGAAAACTAAATTTTATGTCTGCAATAGCTTATTTATAAATCTAGATTTGATTTCATGCATATCCTCATCAAATTTTTTAAGTTGAAAAATTGATCAGCTGTCTCCACTTGTGCATCCATGCCTTGTTGGACGCATATGAAAAATCAAATGCAAGTGATAGTTTAATGATCAGTGACCAATGCTTTATAACTTTGCAATGATCCTAAAACACAAAATGCAGCTCTAATGATTGTATGAAAAGGAGGAGCAGATACGAGGGGCGAAAAAACGAGATGAAATTTTCTTTTGAGGAACGCTTGACTCCATTGTCTTTCAGCCAAGTTCCTGGTCAACTATTATTCAAGGATTTGCTTATACATTATCTAGGTTTTGAAAGCTTTGAGATTGCCTAAGAAGCAGAAAGCCTAAAAAAGTTGCATAAAATGCGACTCAACATCAGTACATTAGAAATAAATACAAACTTTGTCTGAGATCCCAACTGCAAAACTCATGCAGGCTGTCTTTGACTAAACCGCCATTGTTTCTTCCGTAAGTCATTTCTGAACCCAAAAGTTCTGGCAATGGTTAGCTAGGGAGAAGCTCAAGTTCAGTGCCTCCATGCAAAACCTGCTAAAGCACAACCATGCAGAAATGGCTATGCAAGCTAACCACAGTGACTATGAAAGGCTTGGAGAATAATACAGCGATGCAGATCTTAGATGACCAGATGAGTTTGATGCAGTCACAAAAGGATTCCGTTGCAACACAACAGGACTCGTACTAACTAGCCTGGTGGCGGTTGCATGAAAGTTGCCATTGTGCAACACCGGTGTTCCACCAAGTGGAGGGTGGTCTTGTGACTGATAACAAGTATAGGGATTCACGGTACTTGCATTATAATTCGGGGTGGTTGGTAGTGAGATGCCAGATGAAACCACTTGTCTTTCCCTCCAGCCTTCGTTGTATTTTGTAATGTCAGTGATCCCCACAGTTTGACTTTCAGGAACATCATCAATGATGATGATTTCTTTTACGGGATGAGCAGATGAATCTGCAGGCTTGCACTGGCGGTCAGGAACTTCTGTAGCTTTCTGCACGGTGCACATAGGAAAGGCATTTAATCTTCTCTTTAGCCTGTTCTGCGAACTTGCAAAATTGTAATCATCTTTGCACTGTCGAAGCTTCATGGATGTTGCAAAACCACCATCACTATGTTGGTCACAAAACATGCCTGCTGGTAACTGTGATGGTGCTCGGGGTAGCTTCGAATCAGTGTGGCTTCCAAAACTGTTGGACAACCCAACATCAAAACGTTGAGCTGCTGTCTTGTATGGATCCCGACTAAAGATGACAGAACCTTGAGGGGTAATGCGATGAAATGAATGACTGTCCTTATTCTGAATATTGCCAGGAGACACTTGAGAGATTGTCGGAAAGGGAGAAGTTTGATTGATATTTTGAGCACAAGCTTGGACCTGCCCAATTGCCATGGGTGCATTATCATCTTTGTTGACCACCATTAAGTTCTTCCCCATCAGCCTGAGTATAGGATTAGAAGCAGATGGACTAGCAGAATCACCATCTGCACGAGCCAAGAACCTCACTCCAGAATTATTGGGAGACTCCTTCAAAAGAATAGGATCTGCGGGGGGCTTGATGAGGGGTTTTTCAGATCCTGAAGCTGAGTAATTGTTCAGAGGAACTAATTCAGGCCTGATGTCCAAATTAATTGGTGTTGGGTTTGAATTGCAACCCATTTGCTTGCCAACAGAAGGAATTGTCATTGATGCCACTTTCCGCCGCCTTAGTAGCTGTGATTCTTGGTGATTTGGAGCAATACTCTCAACAAATCTCTCCTTTCTTTGGCAACAGCATGGCTGATCATTTTTTTGGCCAAAAGATTCCTTCTCAGTAGATATCCTATCTAGTTTCAAGTACTGTCCAGAAAAAGTAGCTCTTTCCACGCCCATAGTTGCTGCCTGTGGAACTGCACTAGCATTGTGTGCCAAAGGCTCGATTCCAGAAGACACTAAGCCTGACCTAATCTTGTCTTGAAAAACATAATGTCCAGCTGATGATGGTGGTTCCGAATAATTGAAATCAGATCTACCAGCCATGGAGTTAGAGATGGTCGAAGCTGCAGATAGAGGGGAGTCTGATGAATCTCCGTCAATCACATCATGTTGATCTGGAGAAGACTGAACCCGGCTAGTAGTCAATGAAGAGTTCCCTTGAAAATCTTCAGAGCCCATATCTCTAGGACTTGGCAAAAATGACCCTGGTGGTCCTGGAATTGGAATGGGATCAACCTCAGGAAAAGAGTCTACTTTCGCAGCTTCAGAATCCAATTCCACCCCCATGCCAGCATTTTGGCACATCATGCCATGGCCAGCTTCAGCAGCAGAAAACATCCCTCGGTCATGGACAAAACCTGGCTCAGTTGGACCAGTTGATCCATCGCTTCGACTTAAAAGTCCTTCATAATCTTCAATAGACTGAATTGATTGGACCTTTGAAGGAATACCCAGCTCGTAAAATTCAGTGTTGACAGATTTACTCATATCAGTGGCACTCCTCCTCCCATCCAAAGTCTTGGAAGATGCTTCAACAACAATGTCCTCATGGATTGGAACTTCTGTTCCAGTAGATTCTAGGGACTCAACTTTGTGTAAATAACCATCATCAACTCTAGCTGAAGAATCTACATTTATCCCCTCAACAAGACCATAGTGAGGTGCAGATTTTGAGCTCCTCGAAGTCAAGGTTTCCAGCCTTTCAGAACTACATGACAATCTTTTTTCTTGCCTAGCTTCATGGACAGGGCTTCCACCGAGAGACACCTCATCAATTATTTCTTCCCTTTCATGTAGATTTTCTGTCTGATCCTGCATCAAATCATCCTGTTCATCAACATCCGAATGCCTACCCACTGCCTCTTCATCTATTTCTGACGTAAAAGGCTCTTGCGAATTGTCAAGGGTTGACCATCTCTTAACTTTGCTTGGCCTGGATTCAGTCTCAGAAGATTGGCTGCTGACAGACAGTACACTTTTCCTAAAGGAGGAGAATCTCTTTACAACTGCATGAGAACTCCGGGATGATTTTGTGCTAGCAATGGGAGAGACATCTGAATTATTACTTGTATCAGCATCAGTATGGACCTTCTTCTTGGTTAGTGAAGAGACGCTATTCCTGGGAGAGTTTGGAGGTCTCAGCAAACAGCTATCACGGATAGAAGTGCCATCTTTGCTCAACTGATTGGCATTCCGTTTCATTGGTGGAAACAACTTATCCCCTTTGCCACTAATCCTGTCTCCCATCAGGAGATTCCCTACTGTCTTTCTTCCAGAAGAGTGCTCCCTCCTCTCGTTAACCTGGTCCTTAAGAAATGGTTTCTCCATCCTCTCACTGTTTCTAGGCGAAGATATTGGATTATCAGACAAAATGACAGATTTCTGTGTGCAGCTCCTCTCTGAAAGATGATCACCCGTGAATGATTGATCATTCTCAACCAGCAAGTCCTGAGCCAAATTCCACTTACATCTGACAGGTTGATCACCCTCTTGAGTTGAAATCTTCTTTGGAAAACCTCTTCGTTTGGAGCAAACCCATGGTCTTAATGTCCCACCATCACTGGGATTGATTTGCTTCAACATCTGATGTTCTTTCTCACAAATTTTTTCCTCTCCATTAAATTCTTCTTGACCTCTAGAAATCTGTTTAATAGAAATATTGAAAGCCATATACAACTGATATTATGCTACTGAATTTGCAACAAAAGATAATCACAAGAAATCTACAAAATACGTTACAGAAGGGCTTGAGGTGAAAAAGAAGTGGATATACTAGTGTTTTAGCAATTTTTCTGTTGAATAATTCCATCCAGTTAAACACTACACAAATGGAGGCCACACAATATCACCTGAAGCATCCAAGATGAATTTCGCCCCAAAACATAACATGATTAAGCTTCTCAATGGCATTAGAACACAACGGGTAAACTAACTGGTGTCCAAAATGGACAAGGGCAGTCAGTTAGATGAATATATATAGTTTGAGAAGGGAAATAAGAATATGCAGCGCAAGCAAGAGACTGTACCTGAGAAGCAGGCGCTTTGTGGAAGAAAACTTTTTTGCCCTGAGAAGCAAGTTTTAGATACTTCTGATGCTTTTGTGATAAACCTTTTTTCTTTTTCTTTGAGATGTATTTGCTTGCTTTGCCTCCTTTCAAAGATTTCTTTGCTCCAACATCCTCTCTTCTTGCTCCAATATCCTCGCTAACTTTTGCTACTGTTGATGTATCATTAAACTGTGATAAAATCCTAACTTTGGTGCCATCTGCATCAATATAAACCGGACCTACGTCACCAGCATCCTCAGGATGAATTGGAGACACCCTTTGCTTTTTCCCTTCATTAGGTGTATCACTCTTCTCAGTCTCTTGCCCAGGCAAGCTTGACATGGTGGCCCAGTTCGTACCATTTCTTCGATCAAGCTCTTCTAACGTGCAATATTGAGCTGTAGCATAAATATCCACCATCAAGCGGTTCTTCCTCGGCTTAATTCTATACCTTGTTAGCTTAGAATCAGCTGTCCACTTGGGTGTTGATTCTACAGAAAGGCACTGATCAATGTGAGCATTCAAGGTTGTGTTTGATGACGATGAGAAAGTTTTGCAAACAGGGCAAACTTTTGAAGCCATTGTTTCTGATACAGTAGTACAATTAGAAGCAATATCTTCAGCCGAGCTACGATCAGAGTTGCCACCAAATTTCACAATCAGCCTGCACTTCTTAGCCAATGGCCTGGAGGTGCTTTCAGTCTTCTGGGTCACAGGAGCTTCAACTTCAACTGCGGCTTTGACCAAAGTCTGAGTTTCTAATGGGGATCTAGGTTGCCTGCTATCAGGAACTGAGTCTATCTCGCTTGTTGTGGTCGAAGGGAAATCATTTCCTTCTCCAGATCTACATGAACTAACGTCTACACAAGATTCTACTAGCTTGGTATTCAATGGAGCATCGTCAGATGAGTCTAGCAGCACATGATTGTCTGGCGTAGAAGTCTCCTTGTCAAAATTGCTTCTTTCGCTGATGTTTTGCTGCTCAACTAATAAACCGGTTTCGCCCGTACATCTCCTTAAGGACTCGTTTCTTACAGTATTAAGAGGTTGAAATTGCGGCAACACGTCCTTCACGCCATGTTTCACACAAAGTTGAAAATTTTTTAGAGAAAAAGGCCAGCTATTCTTGATATCCTTGCTCCTGGCTTTAAATACATAATCTCTGCAGTGCAAAACATTGTTTCTGTTAGTATTAACTAAGATCAAACTATCTATAATAAGCTAAAAACATCAAATTATATATGTAAGCTATAACGATCATATGCACATAAAAACTGGAACCCTTAATTATATCATATGTTCAAAAAAAAAAAAGAAAAAAAAACGAGTTTGAAAGGGTAAATCTGGTTCATGGAGCTGAAAGTGAAACACAAAACAGTAGGAAAACAGCCAAGCACAATCCAAGTGAACACAGGATTCGAAAATCTAGTGACTGAGAACAAAAAGTCTGCAGCTTGCAGCATGATATGGTTAGAACAAGTACAGATTGTTTGTACAAAGTGACATGAAATCACAAGCAACGACAATCAAGAAAGATTAGAGGCAGTGAGCATTGACTGAAAAAATCATTAAAACACACAAACATCAGAACCCAAGAAGAAGCCTTGAATATGATCATTAAAAGCAAAGCAAGAAAAAAGTCTTCCAAGACCAAAATAGAGACAAGATGAGAGGTGTGCCCATGATGAACTGAGCCATAAGGGAACATGTAACTCTGGATCTGACCCAAAAAAAGATCTTGAAGGTTGATTAGCTGACTTTAATCAGATTCACAACCATGAGATAGAAAGAAACAGAAAGAGGAGTGGTTAGCTTAGCATAGCAAGGCAGCCATGACAGGAGAAAAAGAAGAAGAAAAAAAATAAAATCAAATCAAAACAGTACTATTCATATCCCTGAAAAAAGGATCGGATAAAAAGAATGGATTGTTTTACCTTATGGAGAAATGAGGAAGTGGGGTATGATGATCAAGAGATGGGTTTGGGTTTGGGTTTGGCAGATCTACTACTACTACCTCTGACAAATTAGGAGGAGGAAGCTTATTAATAGTATTATTGGGAAGCTGGGAACCCCTCTCATCACTACTATTCAGTTGAGAAGAAGAACATGAGGGATCTGGTAGTGGAGGGTTTTCAATGGATAACATCTGATGCTATTATTCTCTCTTCTTCTTGTGCTGTTTTTGTAACAGTCACAAGTAGCAGCAGCAGCAGCAGCTTCAGCTTCTCCACAACTATATCTTCCCGTACTGCTGTCTTGCCTTATCTTTATCTTCTTAGCCTTCAGCATATAGCTAGTAACTAGTATATCACTACAGCCCTCCTCTCTTTCTTTCACTTATAGTAGTAGTGTCTTTCTTTTTTATCTTTCTCTCTCTCTTTCTACCCCCAAAAAAAAACCCCACCACCAAAGAACTCTCACCACATGCGATTGACCTCCACAGCCGCAACAACAACAGCAACAAAGAAGCAAATCAAAGCTCTAGCTAGCTAGCTATCTATACTGATACACATGAGCAAGGAGAAGATCAAGCAACCCCACTAGAATCTTCATCCATTTAGCCTGCCTGCAAAGATCAGAGACAAGAAAAGAAGTCATGAGATCATCAACAGTTTTAGCAAGGACCTGGACAGAAGGAGAAGATATTAACATTAGTGGTGGATTGATAAAAAATATCTAGCTAGCAATTAAGGAGAGATTCGATCAATGGAGAAGTCTGTAGAAGATGTTATTTTATGTGGGAATGAGTGAAACGGAAGCATCCAGTAGTGCTTTGATTGATCAAGCAAAGCAAAGCACCAAAATTAATTTTTAGCAAAACAACAAATACCCACTTCAGCAAAGATGATGTTGAAACTCTTCTAAAAAGTTTTGATGTGTATGCGTTATTTTATGTGGGGAAAACAAACCCACAAAAACTTAAAAAACAAAAAAGATTGAAGTTTACTGCTCAAATTTCAGTAGCATCAAATCAAATCTCATATGATAATACATACACACTCGTAGAGATTAAACGCCTTAATTAAGCGCTTGTAATTTGCTGCATAAACACAGCTTTCAAAAATCCAAAGGGGTAAGGAATCTTGAAAGAGATGTAGCTATCCATCCATCTATCTAGCAAGTGAATTATGAATGAAAACCAAAAAAAAAAAAAAAAAAAACTGAAAAATCAAAACAACAAAGAGAGAAACTACTTAATTTAGATGGATGGGTATATAGATAGCTGAGCAGTCAGCTGAGAGAAAGACAGAGAGAGACACCCCAAGATTTCAGGCATCTCTAGATTTACATATATAGTTCAAAGGGAACAGTTTGAACTGACCAAAAACCAGGAGGAAATCTAATCTGAGAAAGGAAAGGCTTGCGACCAGAGACCAGACTACAACCCTTGACTACTTCCAAAATATTGAAACAGAAACGACCCGGAAACTCAAAAGGAGAGAGAAATGGAAGAAAGAGATCATGAAATCACACGAACCCATGTAAGAGTATGAAGGCAAAACAAGAAAAGACTTGATCTTTGAGACAGAAGCAAGCAACCCACCACGAAAGAAATCGAAGAACAAAAATTAAGTATGACAAGGTAAACAAACCTTCATAAGCTTTGAGATGAGATTGTATTGAACGAAAAAAAAAATGAGGCTTTCTTAAGTCTCTTTGAAGAGAGAAAGAAGAAGAGGAAGAGATGAAAAGAAAAGAAATACTTAGCAGTCCTCTTAGAGAGGGAGGGAGAGAGAGAGAGAGACTGTGTGTAAATGAGAGAAGAGAAAAGAGCACCACCCACTCACACATCAAAAGCAGCATCAGGTTCTCTTCTCTCTCTCTCTCTCTCCTTTCTTTCTCTCACTGATTAAAATAAATAAAAAAAAAATTACCATTTTTAACATGATTGAATGAATTTTATCTGTGAATAGTAAATACAGAACACAAAAGATAAAGTGAAAGCATTAAATAGATTTTTGAGGCTGTGTTTATCTTGTCATGGGACGATGAGATTGGAGGGAGTTTTATTATTATTTGTAATAAATTGTGAATCGTAAAAGGTTAAAATTAAAAGTAGAAATAATTTTAAATAATTTTATTTGATTAATTGTATAATAATACATAATTAACAGGATTTTTTTAAAAAAATAATTTTAAATAATACAGTTAGAGGAATTTTACCTAAAATTAAAACAAAAGGATGTCTTCCTCCTTCCTAGCTGCCTACCTATAAAAATAATTTTCCTATATACTTGGTTGTCGATGCCTACGACTACCCCTACAACAGTCACAAAAGTTTTGTCATTTGTTTATTGTTGATTTTTTTAAGAAATGTGGGTCCATGCATGATTTCTCCGTTTTATCCTCATCCTTTTCCCTATTTTCTCCACCCCTACCTCCCATGTTGGCTTGTTTCTTGCCCCTGCTACACGACAAAACTGTGTCGTCTAATTGATTGTTGACAATTATCACCCCTTCTTTGATTTTTTCATATCCTCTTTCTTTTTAAATTTCTAGTGTTTCGTTTTTCTTCGTCAAATCAAGTAGAACTGTTAATAGCTGATATAATGGAAAAAATTTCCATCATTCTATTGATATTTTGTAATTTTAGATCTATGGAATCAAATCGTATAATTTTAAATCTAAAATATTAAAAATTAGATAAATATAATTTAAATAAATCTATTTTGTAATTTTAGATATATGGAATCAAATCGTATAATTTTAAATCTAAAATATTAAAAATTAGATAAATATAATTTAAATAAATCTTCTAAAAAGACTTTTTTTTGGTATTCCGTCATTAATTATGTTTTTTTTTAAATATGTTTTTTTAAACACAAAAAAATATTGTACTTCTTTTAAAAGTTTTTTTGTTTTTATAAATTATATATATATATATATATAAAATATTGGAACTAAATCGCGTAATTTGCCAAATTATGCGAATAATTAATTTAATGATAAATTTTAACTTATCCTATTTCGGTTTGGTAATTTCGGATCGATAGTATCAAATCGGATAATTTAAACCCTAAAGTATTAAAAATGGTATAAATGTGATCCAAAATGTCCTATTTTTGTTATGTGTAACTATCAACCCATTTGATCATTGTTTATAATGTCAAAATGACGTTGTTTTGATATTTTGCTATTAATTATGTTTTTTAAAAAAATATTTTTAACCCCTAATCTTGAACTTTTTTAAAACTTTTTTTTCTTATAATATATTATAAATATTTTTAACCTCTCAATTTTGAACTTTTTTTTATAAAATACTATAAACGTTTTATAAACAATTTTTTTTTATAATTTATAAAATTAAGGAGTTCAACCCTTAATAATGCTTATTTTAATTTATAAAATGTTTTTTTAAACCTTAAAATTGTGCATTGTTAATTATGGTTTTTTTACGATAACATTTTATGAAAAAAAAAAGCTCACGATTAGAGAAGCTAAAAATATATTTAAAAAAAAACATAATTAACGAGTGAAATGTCAAAACAATATTTTTTTAACAATAATGATCAACTTACATAATTTAAATTTCAAGTAACAAAAGTTCAAGATCAAGAGGATTAAAAATATTTTAATTTTTTTTAAATACATAATTAATAGCGAAATATTAAAATTACGTTTTTTAATATTTTAAGTAACGATCAACTTGGTCGATCATTACATATAACGAAAATAGGATAATTTAAATCCGATTATTCTAATTTTGAATACTTTAAAAATTAAATTATGTAATTTAATAATATATTTTTAAATTATGAAATCACAATAGGATAATGGTAAATTTTGTCTTAAAACGGTTAATAACTTGGAACTAACAACAACTTTTATGGATTAGGTTTATCAATGAGGTAAGCCAGATTTTGTTGAGGCAGCAGAGATAACATAAAAGAAAGCACGTGTATTGTGGGAAGCTAGCTATATTCATGCATCTATTGGTCATATCAATAGGGGCAGCAAAATATCAAGAAGATGGACTTCTTGGTCATATACATGCATGTCCCCATGATGTCTGCTGGCCACTGATAAAAAAGAAAATGAAAGAGGAGGAGCAGAGGAGGAGGAGGAGGAGATCTTTCCTTTCTTCCTTCTTTTTTCTCCTTCCTTCGATCTAACAAAATATGGTTTCTCCTCCAACTCCCAGATAAGTAGGAGGATGTACATATATAAAAAGGTCTCTCCTCCTTCTTTATATCAACAATTACAGTACAGTACAAATAGCATATTGAAATGCAAATGCAAATGCAATGCAGCAAGGCAAGGAGGCAAATATATTAAAGTAGGATCGATCGAGTACTCCATTTCTCAAGGTCGAGCCATGGACATGCACCTTTCCTTTTAGCTTAAAGACTATATATATATGTATATGCACCTTTCCTTTTAGCTTAAAGCCTATATATATATATATATATATATGGATGTGTGTGCTTCATTTCCTTTTATATGCAATCCTCAATGATACTCCCACTTGCAAATATTTCGTTAATTTTACGGTTCTCCACTCAACTGCTATTTGTATTTTTTTTCTTTTTAGAATTTCGGATTTAAATCTCTTCTATATATAATAAATAGTTTTATGTAATTTTTTTTAATATATATTTTTTAATCAATATATATATATATCACACGGTTTCTTTTTTAACTATGGGAAAAGAAAAGAAGTAAACTATATGGAGTCTCGGCTCAAGATATAGGCTATTAAGGCTTATGCCTAGGGCCTCCATAGAAAGGAGGGCTCCAATTAAAATTTTATTCTAAACCTACATTCTAGAAGAATGAGATAAATTAAAAACTGCAGACCTCCATTTATACCGTAGCTTCGGCTAAAAGAAGTTTTTTAAAATTAAAATTAATAAAATCTTATTTACATTCAACTATGTTACAAGAAAGATTAAGTAATTTGGCTATATTATCAATTGAAAAAGATTTGTTTTGTAAACTTGAATACAAAAATTTAATTAGAGATTTTGTATCTTAGAAAGTAAGAAAAATAAATTTTAAATAATGTTTAATATTTATTTGTTTTAAAAAAAAAGTCTCTAAAATATTATTTTACCTAGGGTCACATATGTTATAAAGCCGGCCTCGACTATATGTATTTTTAATATCCATATACTTCAAGGGTTATAGGGTAAAAAGTTTTATTAATTAACATGATTTATATAGCTAACTAACGGATTGACCATCCACCTTTTTTTTTTTCTTCTCTCCTTATCATTAGTGAGGCTATTGTGGTTATAGATGGATATGCATGCATGAATCTATTGAGGGCATTAATGTATGAGGTTTTGAATCTTTAAAAAAAAATCCATTCCTCTTCGCCACCCAAGGCATCATGTGAGTTGCCGTTTCAACTCTTATTTAGAAGAATTTCCTCCCTTTCATTTTCTCAAGATATCTTTTTTTTTTTTTTAATGATTTTGATTGCTAATTAATTTCAAATTTTGAATAATTAATTAATTAATTGTTTCGTGGACCTTTTCGATTCGCAAGGTGGATGTGATTGAAAATGGTTGCGTAAAACGAAGAGTGGAAAGAAGGGTAATTAAGGGGATTGTGGGTGTTGTCTTTTAATTATCCAAAACGAAACCCACCTATATCACGTCTAAAATTGATTCTTAATTGTACGTGTAAGGTTAAGATTATATTCGAGTTGGTAGCTATAGTTTTGAAGTGGAAAATAGAGAGGGCCGGGCTTCTCTCCTCTCTTCTAATTTTATCGTAAAGTTTTGTATGCAATCTCATTAATTAATCTATTTGTTACCATCACCCTATTGTTGTAGCTGCATTATGATATCATCACCATTAATTATTGTTACCACCATCACCGATATTGCTGTAGTTCAACCATGAGGATGCAATGACCCCTTCAAATTCATTATAGTCTCTCAAAATTAGTTATGTTTCATAATAAATCCTTATAGTTTTTTAAATTGTCCCTCTCAAAAAAAAAAAAAAAAATTGTTTTTATTTTTGAAGTCCCATTGTTTCTAACCCCCTCCCCTCGGCTGTTTTTTTCTTTTTATAACTCTCACATCTAACACACACAACCAAAGCTCTTAGCAAAATTAATCTACTAGAATTTGAACCTATGACCTTTTGTAAGAGATTCTTATCACTCGAACTATAAACTTTTTGATTCTTCTAACTGTTTTTGTCACTCTCCATGATTTACCACCATCATTATAATTGTCAACAACTATTGCCTCGTAGCCACTATTATCATCATCATTTCACTATTATTATATTTTTCACATTATTATTTACCAACATATAAAATGTTTTTTTTTAAAAAAAAAATATTTTATGTAAAACAAACACTCGTAGACACTATCAAAACGTGCATGTTTAATTAATACGAACAACTTATGGAGGGAAGGTAGTTCAATTTAAAATATTTTTTAAGTCATATACGTACCATATACTAATTGTATAGTGCCAATTAATTTTATAACACATTGTAATTTACAGAAGTATTTATTAGAGATTTTACGATAAAATAAGAAGGGCATAAAATCTTTAATTAGATATAGATAAATTGAAAAGGCAATTCTTAAATTATAAGAACTTTATTGAACTAATTAATTTATTTATTTTTGTC